TATATATATATATATAGTATACACATGATAAGATCAGTCTACTGATTTTCCTTATTTTGTTATATATAATCAAATCACAATATAAAATTTTTCATGAATCTTAGAAAAAAATGCAACTTTTACAAGTATTTTAAATTATTGATATTTGAGAAATCTCTTTGTGTTTAACTATTTGTATATTGTAAGTATATGTTATTTATAGTTTTATTTATATTTAATAAATACATCTTTACTAGTTTTTATTATATATATTTGTTATAGGTAACACGCATAAAGGGTTTAATTCACACTTGTAATAAAATGTTGGCAAATGCTGCGATATCATTTTCTTAGTAAATTTTTTACATCAGTCAATTAAGTGCAATTAAATTTATGTCTTACTCGCTTTGACAATGGCTTCGAAAACAAGACGCTTCTTTAACAATATAAGAAGAATACTCTTAAGGATTTATAGATACTTTCTACGTTATATCCGTACATGGGTGATTGTAGGATCAAAAAATGTAAGTTCTGCAGCAAATATATATATTTAAATAATATATAAAATTGTAAAATTAGATGTATTCTTAGCAAAAAGTTCTAGCAATACAATTGTTTGAGAGTGATAGATTGTCTGTACTTACCTAGATTTATTAGAATTAGCAGAAGCAAGTCTTATGGCAGGAAGCAGTTGTCACATTACTATGGTATTGTAATCCTAGTATAGGTAGGGTAAGAGAATAGCTGCAGCTTTTATATATGCTCGCATAGCAGAACACTGTAACGTAATATTATGCACGCTTGCTAACTGCTTTATGCCAATAACTTATATATTAAGGCTTATATTCTGCTAAGTACATATCCATTTTCTACGTTTGAGACGTAAGTATTATCTCTAAGAAGATCCCTCCGTTCGTCGAATCTTGTTCTTGGTAAAAAATATTGTTTCTCTTGAACTTTTTTTTTACAACCTCTGTATTGTTAAATCGTTTAATTATATTTTTACATTGTATATATATGTTTTTCAAATTTCTTTCATATTTAAAAACTGATTTTGAAAGAAATGAAATATTATAAATATGATAAACTAATATTATATAAATCAATAATCTCTAGCAAAATATTTGATTATGGAAGAATTATATTACAATTTAATGGTGATAAAATAAAAACGACATTTCATCCATGTATCTAATAAAAATTTTGTTCACTATTACAGACAATAACTGAAGATATGCAAGAAGTCGACGGTCTATCGCCACAGCCTACAACCGAAAATCATGAACAAATAAGAATCTTAACTGTGAACAATGGGGAACATCTGGATGGGATCTTATACAGATTGAAGAAAGGTTTTTAAAGAGATTTTATTTTTCTTTTAAAACATTATATAATTTTTTAACTGTATTTTGATATTTCTCTCTGTTATTATAATATGCTTTTATCTTAAATGAGATTTCTCACACAGGATGGAAAGTTGAATTTAGACTCGGGGCTTCCCTTCTTGGAAAAAAACTTGATGTTTTTATAAATCATCCATTATCGAGTGAGGGAAGTTTTGAGAGGCGTACTTACTATCAATTGCAATGGGTTGACGAATCAGCTAGTATATATTTAACTTTGCCCGGTTCATTCCATTATTATGTCAGTGATCAGTAAGTATTAAATATTATGAACAGCTATTTACATGGTTTTATTTCTTAATAACAAAATATATCTGTTTTGCAGAGTCAGGGGGCATATAAAACCTGTTGCATCTGGATATTTACTTGTGGATCCTGAACTGAAAGTAGGCGAACATGAGAAGGAATTACCTTTGGATTGCATCCAAGTCCAAACAGTTTTGGCAAAGTGTTTAGGACCTTTCTCTACATGGGAAGATAAATTATTGGTGGCACGAAATTCTGGATATAATATGATCCATTTTACACCAATACAGGTAATGTTAGCAGAATTAATATATATAATATATAAAAAATAAGATGTTCATAATAAATACGAGCTCGTTGACACGTTTTAGGAATTGGGACATTCTAAATCGTCATACAGTCTGAAGGATCAAATGAAACTCAATCCTGTTTTTAATGAAAACAATCAGATAATTACTTACAATGATATCGAGCAATTTGTAAACAAAATGCGAACCGAATGGGAGGTAAATTATTAGCTTTAAGAATATCCTTATCAGGAATGAAATGAAACGCGTATTTCTTTAATATATACAAACGTATTTTCTTCAATTATCTTTATAGATGTTAAGTATATGTGATATTGTTCTGAATCATACCGCAAACGAGAGTCCGTTTCTACTTTCTCATCCAGAATGCACGTACAACTGTATTAATAGTCCTCATCTACGTCCAGCGTATGTTTTGGATGCAGCATTGTTTGAATTAACGATACAAGTGGCTGCTGGAGAATGGGAATTTAAAGGTATTCCTACCGTGGTCGACACTGAAGATCACTTGAATGTAAGTTACAAATTATTTCACGCGTTAACGTTACTACAATATAATCGAATTTTCGTTCTTTATCGTATTTTAACGGTTTTGCTTCATTTTCTATGCACTTTGTTTTCAGGCGATTCGTCACGCTCTCCACACATATTTCTTGCCGCTTGTAAAGATACACGAGATGTATATCGTTGATATTAACGAAGTTATATCGGAATTCTTGAATTTGGCGCGCAATGAAATGCCACAAGATGTGAATAATACGAAAACTGAAAACATTTCGATAGTTCAAGATCCCGATTTCCGTAGATTGAAATCAACCATAAACATGCAACTTGCTTTGAAAAAGTATAATATATACAGGTAAAATATACAAGATGAGATAATATGGTTAAATATTTGATTATAAACTTTTGTGCAGATCTTTTTATGCATAATTCTTTTATTTTACATAGAGCTGATTGTTTCGACGAGGAGACTCGTTTGAAACGATGCGCAGAGGAGTTGAAGAATAAATTACAAGAACTCAACGAAGCTATTAGCAACAATGTACAAAACCATCTGAATGCTGCCGTTGAAAATGCTATTGCTGGTATAAGATACTTTAGAATACAATGTGATGGGCCAAGAATTAAGGAAATTGACGAAAAGAATCCTCTTGTTCCTAGGTATAATTTTACTTGTATATCTAAATATTATAAAGTCTTGTGAAATCACTTATGTATATTTCTTGATATGACAAATTTATATTCTATAGATACTTCACTGATTATGGAGCACCTGCATCTTTGTCAGAAAGAGAAGATATAATGTATTCAGATAATGGATGTTATCTCATGGCTCACAATGGTTGGGTCATGAATAGCGATCCTTTGAAGAATTTTGCAGAACCTGATTCTAATGTCTACATTCGAAGGGAACTTATTGCTTGGGGAGATAGCGTGAAACTCAGGTAAAAGTGTCTGTGTTAAATAATCTTACAGTTTTCTCGATATATCATTAGTGGAAAGTTTAATATATATTATAATTTACAATTTGCATCACACAATTCATGTAATTATTACAGATACGGGAAGCAACCAAAAGATTGTCCGTTCTTGTGGCAACATATGACAGCTTATGTAGAACAAACGGCGCAAATATTCGATGGTGTTCGGTTGGACAATTGCCATTCCACACCGATCCCCGTCGCTGAAGTATGTCGTAATTCTATTGCAACTTTGATACTAGAATGTTTACTGAATAACACGATTCTCTTTGCAGTATATGCTTGACGCTGCACGACGTATCCGTCCAAATCTCTATGTTGTCGCGGAATTGTTCACCAATTCCGATCAAAAAGATAACATCTTTGTAAATCGTCTTGGCATTACTTCTTTAATCAGAGGTTGTCATTTATTTATATACCATAAATTAAATCTACATGCTAATATTACTTTCCACAGACAGCTAAGCATTGTAAACAGACTAGGCATTGTAAAACTATCTAGCAATCTTTCTACATGTCGAAAGTCGAAATATTCTTTCTAAACCGTTTTTCATATTTTTAAAAAACATAATTATATACTAAATGTATTATAAGTAATAAAATTAGAAGATATATTAGAAGCTTTAAATTGTAGAAGCTATGTCAGCATGGGATAGCCATGAAGAAGGAAGATTAGTTTATCGATATGGAGGAGAACCAGTTGGAGCATTTCTGCAGTCACGAAAACGACCGTTGGTGCCGAGCATAGCTCACGCTCTGTTCCTAGATGTGACTCACGACAATCCCAGTCCAGTGCAGAAACGAAGTACTTTTGATTTACTCCCAAGCGCTGCTCTTGTATCGATGGCGTGCTGTGCCAGTGGCAGTAATCGCGGTTATGATGAATTAGTGCCCCATCACGTAAGTTGGTAGAATAAACTTGAACATTTGCACAAATTTTTATTATTAAATCTTGTTGATGTATACTATAAAAAATTTGAGATTTTTTTGTTTGTTTCCAGATACATGTAGTAGATGAAGAAAGACAATACACTTCCTGGTTGGATAATGATGATCTAATGAATAATGTTAAATATATTAATTCAAAAACTGGCATAATTGAAGCCAAAAGGGCATTGAACGATCTACATTATATGCTTGGCCAAGAAAAATTTTCGCAGGTATAAATTATTTGTATTGATGCATGTGTCCAGTAAAGAATTAATGTATTTGGCTACTAATAATAAATTTATTTTTATAGGTATTTGTCGATCAAATGGACAGTGATATAGTAGCTGTAACGAGACATTCACCGACTAGTCATGAGAGTGTAGTTTTGGTCGCGTTCACGGCATTTAAACATCCGGATTCGAACGCTCATGACCTGAGAAGACACATAAGACCTTTGATAGTGGAGGGTGTAGTAGAGGAAATTATTTTGGAAGCATCACTTTCACATGTAGATGTCAAGTAAGCAGCAGATTTTATTTTTAAGAGAAAAAGTTCATTATTAAAAAAAAATTCATTAATCTATATAAATATTACTTTATATACAGAAATGGGAAATCACCTTTCTGTTTACCACAAAAATATACAAAAGATACAAATTTCATAAACGGATTATGCGAATATACGTTAAATCTTAAACAGCACATACAATGCTGCGACTCTACGATAATCGAGAAGGTCGATTCCGGCGATCCTAAAAACACCCAACTCAACTTCGTAAACTTTCAACCCGGTTCTGTTATAGCTATACGGTATAAATTTTCTTTTTTAAAATATACCGAGCCTAGCGATAAAAATGTACTATACTAACTTGTAACGAATTTAATTTCACAGAGTGGCGCTTCACACGAATATAAAACCTGCTTTAATAAAGCTTCAAAATACTATCTTGCAGATCACTTCCAACGAGAAATCAGATTTACATAACATAATTTCTTGTATGGATTTCTCAGATTTGAATAAAGTTTTATATAGATGCGATCAGGAGGAACGAGAGGAAACATGTGGTAGATTTGGAGTGTACAATGTACCAGGATATGGATGTTTGGTATACGCTGGATTGCAAGGTGTTATGAATATATAAATACTTCAAAATAAATAAAATAAAAGGGCAATAAGAGCCACACACAGTAATTGGGGCGCAAAAATAGTTTATTATAATGTCTCAATATAAAGCACAGGGCGTACGTTTCGGTCCCATTCTTCGGCCCATCTTCAGCACAATTTTAATGAAAAATTAAATTAAATTAAGACCGAAACGTACGTCCTGTGCTTTATATTGATACATTATAATAAACTATTTTTGCGCCCTAATTATTGCGCGTGGCTCTTATAGCCCTTTTATTTTATTTATTTTAATTATACTCTTGAGAGCCTATTGTATCTTATAAATACTTAACATTTTTTTTATAATTCTAAGATTTATATAGTTTTAGCGTGTATATTATACTCATATTGTTTAACAAATGCTCCATTTTCAAAATCAGGTATTGTATCCTTAATGGCTGATATTCGTCCGAATAACGATCTAGGACATCCTCTATGCGCCAATATTAGACAGGGTAACTGGTTGATAGGTAATACAACAGAAACTGTTTTCGATAAATAGTTCTACATAGTAATAACATGAGTATGTGATGAAAAATGTTTGAAAAATTGACAGATTATGTGTGGCAACGTCTGAAAGAAGATGATGGTACTAAACCCCTTGGGATATGGCTCGAGCAAGCATTGGAACCATTCAAATTAATTCCGAGATACTTGGTGCCGAGTTATTTTGATGTCATAATCGTGAATGTTTATATGAATCTTTTAGATCATTGCTACAGTCTAATGTCAAAGTAAGTATAGGTCTAAATATTTCAGAGATTGATATTTCAAGATCTCGTTAAAATAAATTTACAAATTCTCCGTTTTTTATGTGTGTAAAAATTGAAAGAATATTAATCGTGTATTTTATATTATCTGCTACTAATTAAAATATATTATTCCAGCTTCGTAAAAGATGGAACTACATTCATTAACTTATTGAGCTTGGTCTCGGTACAAGTGGGCGGTGTAGTAAGATCATCACAATTGCCAGATTTATCGCCGAATCTCAATCAGCCTAAGCCGAAGACTAAAATCTGCGACGGAGAAACTAAGCAGATGTGTTTAACGTTGTCAGCAGGCTTGCCACATTTCACAACAGGCTACATGAGAAATTGGGGTAGAGATACCTTCATCGCTCTGAGAGGATTGTTACTTCTAACGGGCAGGCATATCGAAGCGAGATTCATAATTCTCGGATTTGCCGGAACTTTGCGACACGGTCTAATACCAAATTTACTCGATAAAGGAAGCAATGCAAGGTATAGTTATATCTTCAGGGAATATATTACGCTGTTTTAAAACAGTACATTAGGAAGCTTCGATTGATCCGAGCTTTATTTTTTGATTTTATTATATAATAGATACAATTGCCGTGATGCAGTATGGTGGTGGCTCTACATCATAAAATGTTACACCGAGGAAGTTCCAGATGGTTTGAACATCCTTTCCGACAAAGTCTCAAGATTATTCCCGACTGATGATTCACCAGCTTTGCCTGCGGGACAGTATGTAAGTCGACATGTAAAAGCAACTATTTTACAACTTCAACAATTAAGATTGCATATCATGTGATTTGTAAAAACGGTTTCAGGATCAATCGTTACACGAAGTAATCCAAGAAGCTCTCACGATACACTTTCAAGGTCTTTGCTTCCGGGAAAGAAACGCTGGGAAACAAATCGACGAGCATATGACGGATCGCGGGTTCAATAATCAAATCGGAGTTCATCCTGACACAGGTTTCGTTTTTGGCGGGAACGATGCCAATTGCGGCACCTGGATGGACAAAATGGGATCTTCCGAGAAAGCCGGTAACAAAGGCAAGCCGGCAACTCCCAGAGACGGTTCCGCCGTGGAGTTGGTCGGATTGTGCAAGTGCGTCCTCACTTTTCTGGCTGAATTGTACAAACAGAATCTTTTCCCATATGGCAGTGTTCAGCGTAAAAGTCGCGACGGTAAGAATATCGAAAATACCTCATTGTAGTTATGTAATCAACGACACATTATCCCTGATTATAACTATCACATGAACCGCGCAGGAAAAATAATAACTTGGAGTTACAAGCAATGGGCCGATAGAATTCAGGCAAACTTCGAAAAATACTTTTATGTGAACGAGACTCCGACGCAGGGTGAGTTGAGACCCGATTTGATTCATCGGCGAGGTATATTCAAGGATAGTCATGGAGCGACACAAGAATGGGCGGATTATCAGTTGCGACCCAACTTCCCTATTACTATGATTGTCGTGAGTATTACAATATTCTATACAAATCTCCTGTAAAAGGATGAGTATAGTGTCTTCTATATAAAAAAATTCATAATAGCTATAACTATATTTATAATGTCTACTTAAATAGGCTCCGGAATTGTTTGATCCTCATCATGCTTGGACCGCACTGAAGAAAGCGGAAGAGATACTGTTAGGCCCGTTGGGAATGAAGACCTTGGATCCTGCGGATTGGGCATACAATGGTTATTACGATAACTCCAACGATGGTACCGATACCAAAGTAGCGCAAGGATGGAATTATCATCAGGGGCCCGTGAGTATTCTCACAATCATAATCGCAAATTTCTCTAGATATATATAAAGATTGAAAAAATGAAGATTGAGATAAATTTATTCCTCTTGCGTATAAAATATGTATTTCTAATTTGATATTCTTTTTAGGAATGGCTCTGGCCGATAGGATATTTTCTGCGAGCACGTTTGCTTTTTGCATCATTAATCGGCGAAAAGGACGAGTTACGCCGTACGGTCGAATCGACGGAAGCTATCATTTCACGACATTTTATTGAAGCATCTACTACTCATTGGAGAGGTCTACCCGAGCTCACCAATAAGGATGGAAGTTATTGTAAGGATAGTTGTCGCACTCAAGCATGGAGTGCCTCGAGTATACTAGAGGTTTGTATATTTACAGTGAATACACATACGTTATTTCTTATTAATTGATATAATTATACGAATGAGCGTCATTATTTGGAAGCATTGTTTGTGTAATACTTCATCATTTTTTATATCTGTCTGTTGGAATCCAGGTTCTCTATGACTTGCAAAAGATTAAACGGGAATTAGGATCCGAGGAAATGAGATCCGGGAATTGATATCACTTTGCGTGTGTTCACCACCGCCAATTAGATTTAGAGCAATTAAAACTAGAACAATTAAAATATAATAGTAACACTTCGAGCAAAGCGGATAACACGAATGTACGCTTTCCCACCGGAGCAATAGCGACACCGCGCATATTGGAAACACACGCATATCGTATCGGTACGCACATAGACGTAACAGATGCACGAATTGTAGACACTACTGATATCATATCTGCAAAAAACGAAATATGTTTCGAGACTGAATGGAACGCAAAAAATTACAATCGACAATACGCAACGATGGAAAATGACGACGGAAAGAATAAAGCTCGAACGGGCGTTCGAGCCTTGTCGCACGTTTACGAAGAAATTAGAGGGATTAAGGAGCCATATAGTAGTTCGCACAAGTACGACATTCAAGATTACTATGAGAAGTATAGTCCCAGCACGACGAAGGCTTTAATAGATACACTGTACTTCCCGCGGCATGAAATCTGCGAGGAATGCGCGAGAATGAAATACAGTCCGGTATATACCGATCGTTTAATATACACAAAGGAATCGTTGTTTGCCATAGAGGTGGTTCTGTGTCAACGCGATGACGTCTCGTGCTTTGCATATCGCGATCCGCGAGAGGATCCAGCTGACGATAATCTCCGCTTGCAATACGATAGAAATCTGCAAGACTACATGTTGATTTACAATTACGCAAAAACCAATGCCGCGGGTATATTTTACTCTCACTGCTGGCCCCGAGATGTCTTCGATCTGAGATCGCTATTGAAGCCGCATATTTACGTTTTAAATTATCCTTGCCGCGACGTTATCGTAAACACCCAGCTATATCATCGTTATGTGAATAACCATTATGTAAGAATATCGAAAGTTGGCTGCGCATCCATGACATTTTATCGCGATAGTAGTACTATGATAAGCTGCACGAGACGCATTAGCTATGATAACGACGATTTGCAAAACTCGCCAATTTATCCGATCCACGAATCAAAGGACAACGAATATCGACGGAATAGATCAAGCTTATTGTTGTTGGAACCATTATTGCTAGCGCCGGAATTGGCAAGTTCCGGTTATAAAAAAAATACTGAAAATAGAGCTTCGGAACGCATAAGGATTGTCAGAATATTAATAGCCTACGCGTCATCATTTCTTATTCTCGCGAGCATTACATTTTACATTGTTTATTTTACCTAGTTGTTCCCCGACTATTTGATAAATATACTGAAATTATGAGATAACTAAGAAATTTAATCACACATTGCTTTGTATACATTAGATGCTACACTACACGATACATTTATTGTCATTAATTTAACGTTACATTTATATCTCGAAACGTAATCGCCAAAATATTTACAGAATGAAGAAAATCGCATATATGCATAACAATCCATATTTTATCATTAAATATATTTATATATATATTTAAACGTATATATATTTTAAACGGGTTAAATATGCTATCAATTTTTATATAATCATAATTCAACAATTTATTAATGACAAGAAAATGTGTATTCTGTAGTATAAAAATTATTAACTATCTTAACGATTAAATTTGCAAACTACGAGCGAAAATGAAAACTACAAATTGTCTCTATGTCTACCGAATTATATGTGACAGATATGCATTATACAAATTTTAATTCATACATAAATTTCTACGTTTATAATTTATCGTTTCTAATCGTTTATAATTTATCGTTCCTATATATAATCGTCTATAATTTATCATATTTTACATATGTCTTCCAAATCTACAGGCAAAGCGATGTTTGTCATTTTAAATAACTTTGTTAAGGCCGGGTTGTTCCAACCTCTAGGTAAACTTACCTGACGGTTAAAAGCACACTAATGTATGCTTTTAACCGTCAGGTAAGTTTACCTAGAGGTTGGAACAACCCGGCCTAAGATAGTAAAATAATCGACATGTGTTCAAATTAATTTGAAAAAAAAAATCGAAAATTTAGCTCTTTTGTTATCTATTGATATATTGAATGTTTAATAATTCTTATAATTAACTGCAGCTATAACATTATATGCAAGAAGGAATTGGCTTTAATAATGCCTCTTATTTGTGAGATACTCATTGATATATAATAGATTTATACACGTAAATCGTAAATAGAAAAGTTTATACAGTTTAGTACATGTGTAAGGAAAAAGAATAAACACAAAGAAAATATTCATTAAGATATTTTTCGAAATTCTCAGGTAAAGATAAATCTCATGGATTGAAGTTGTAGATTCTGTATGTTATATGTGTAATGTATTTGGGTATATATTATAATGGGGGGAAGAGAGATATAGAATATGAAGAATGATATGTAATAAATAAAGTATAATCTATAATAAAATGACGAAAATTCTAGTTGACATTAAAAGTTTTATTATTATATTCATCGATATTCATCGTTTATAAGATATAAAATGCCAAAATGTTTGACTTTGTAAATTACTCAAGGCGCATATTTTTACACTGAAATATTTTATTATTGTTACATATACTGATTTGTTCTTATTAAATTTTCCTATCATCATCTAGCCTAATTTTTTTCTTTTATGCCATTTCTGATAATCCTCTGTTCCAGAACTTCTTAATATGAATTATTCAGATATATACTATAAAATAAATAGAACAAATAAAATACAAATAAGTTTTCAAGTATATAAAACAAAGGATTAATTCATTATATATTTAAGTTGTCATATCTTTATATAAATCATAAGACAAGTTGAAAATGTCAAGATTATGGTATCAAGAGAAAGATTAATAGTTGTGTATAAATAAACTATTAAAAAGATATTTAGATTATTGACAAAAAGTTAGGTATTAATGAATATTGCTTCACATAGGTATGATTAAAAAAAAATGTATATAAATTATTTATTAACTTTGACATAAATCAAACTATACAAAACTTAAAGAGATAATCAAGAGATAAAAATATATTTATTCTCTAATAAACGTAATAAATATACATATTGGTACTAAATCGGAATATGTTTTCGCAGATTCTATTCGCCGTACTTAATTGTGTTATAGTTTCTTGTAAAAAAAAAAGCGTTTCTCTTTCAGCATCCACGCGCGCGCGACTCTTCTCAATTTCCTTGTTCATGCGTGTATAATAAGTTATATGAATGTATTTTCTAATGATACAATTTTAATTTTTTAATTCGTGCTGCTATTTAGGATTCAAAATGTTACAGGCACGTAAAGTCTCTAAATATTTTTACGTCTCGTTTAATAAGATTCACTCTTGTGCTATTATGTAATTCAATATTTTTATGATTAATCGTACCAACAAATCGTCGCATCGCTCGGTATAAATGTCGTGTAAATCTCTAAAAGCCAATTTACATATGATTCTTGCACCTGAGCTGCATCTACGAGAGAAACCGCTAGCTTTTAAATATCATCGAACAATCCTCTGGGTGGAGGACCCACGCGACTTGTACTCATGGGGAATGCCCTCGTGTTACTCGGATCGTATGAATCATTATCATCTTGATTTTCCCCATCGTAATGATTATTTGCACCGTAACTCTCCCCGCCAAATGTCATACCGATGTAATAATCCGCAGGATCGAAATCATGCAACAGACCCGCTCTTGCCGATTCAATAGATTCATCTCGTTTTAACGGCCTTACTATAAAAAGATTTAATTATTAATAATATATTATCTACACGATATGTATAATTTACATCATATATAACATACTACTTACACATACCAGTGTCTGTGCTTTGTCGGGATGTTCTGTAACGCGAACCCACTGAAATATTGAATCTCTCTTGCAATTCGCGTCGTCTGTATATAGAATCTTCCGCTCTTTGTCGTTTACGTCTCTCTACAGTAATAAGAAAATGTCATTTCCTGTTCTGTCATAGAAAATTATAAGCATAATTATAAAAAATATTTTCTTAATTTATTGATACCTCTTTTTATAAGCTCTCTTCCTTCATCTACAAGGTCCGTCGTGAATTCATCATCATCGAGGAATTGTTGAAAACCTAGCATGGAAAGCAGTCTACTACCTATACTAAAGTATGTCGCTAAGCAGAATGCCAGAATCGCCATAGGAAAGTACACGTTAAATCCATCGGATATTATAGAGATAACATCCATATGACCCATTACCTGAGAAGAGATGAAGAAATGAATAAAGAAAGTCTACAGATTATTTAAATAATATTACCTGTGTATAGTGTGTTTCCAGAATATGAGTCTTGATTATGTGAGAATCCATATGAATAAGTCCCAAGAAGTTAAGACACATGGGCGGGGTTAAGCGACACAGCATCATACCGCTGAATATCAAACTATACTCGTTCGTTTGATGGTGAGGTGCCAAGTAATAGAGATTCAATACTCGAATCTTTAAGACGGTAGAATAAGCGCAGTAGCAAAGGTATGCGATAATCAATGTAGATAGTACCTGAAAATCGAATATAGACGCGATAATAAATGGCAATACATGTATGTGAAATATTAAATACAAATTATTTTACCTCTATGGTACCATAATCGTAGTTTCTTTTTGCTAAATTCAGAAACTGAGCAAATAACGATAACACAGGAGACTTGTTGAAGAATGTTACTTCTGACCATACGACAGCTACTGACAAGCAACCGGCGCAAATAGCAGCTATCTTCAAGACATAATCCTTTACGATACATTTCCAGTACCATTCTGAAAAGTAAAATGCAAAATCATGAAATAAAAAACTGCAAACTATATTAAATTATAAAAAAAAAACAATGATGTTATACTTACCAACAACAGGATTGTAAATAATACGAAATGGAAGCGAGCGATGTGTAGGAAAAGACTGTTTAAATCTTTTATCATGACTCACTTGATTTTTCGCTACATCTTCCAAATCAAAAATCTTGTCCACTAAAATACCCCATTGAGTCTCTATACGTTGCAAAGTCTGCAACGCTTTTATGGTCTAAAACAAAAAACAATAGCAATATGCTTGAAATATAAATGTGTCGTGATATTATAACATATATTTGCTGCGATACAAACCTGTCTATGTAGCCGAATTAAAGATTTTTCAGTGGGTGTATCTGTTGGAGTATCATCTGGCAGTTGTCTTCTATTCATTCTATCTTTCAATTCTGCGGGTATCTTTTGAAAAATAGTTTCCAAGTTACAATGGAACGGATGACCAGGTCCAATAGATATTGTTGCAATTTGTAGTGACTAAAATGGCATTTTTTTATTCATTACACGAAATTTTGCAGAATTCTCACATTACAAATGCATTTTGTAAATAATATTATCTTGTATACCTCAAGTATATCATCTACTGTTTCTTCCGCTTCGCATTTGTCTAAGCTTAATTTCGCTAACTTGAAATAGCTATAATTTAAAGTATATCCAGGTTTGCTGCCATTCCATAATCCTCGAGGTACCTCTACGAGGGCGTATCCAAGTAATAAAACTAATAAAAATAAGCCCCATGTGTTGGATGCAGATGAGGCTATGGCTTTCAATTTTTGCCTGAAAGAGCAGAAATGTCATAATTTTTATTTTTGTACACTAAACACACACACACACACACATATATATATTAATAATGTTTTAAACTTTATACACACTAGTAAAACTCACCCATCAAGATCTAAGCCAGGCTTTAATGCAATGTATATTAAAAGTATGCCGCATATAAACAAATAACTGCCATAATATATAGCATTATCTATTAAAGCAGACTTTAGTTTTCCACGTACGGTGAAGTCTCCTGCTTTTATATAAGACTGCATCAATGGGAGTATCAACCATGTTAGGCATTGTGATGTCCAGTAGACTATCCTCCACAGATTCGGAAATACATTATCTGGCACATTCGGCCAAGGTTCTTTACATGTGACAAATGATACAGAGGTAGTATTATCGACATTTTTAGTGTTGTTGTGTATATTCTGTTCTACACACTGTCTGAATACAGTCTGCACAAATGAAATGTTACTTTATTATTTTATTGTTTTCCAGAGTAAAGCTGTATTTTCCAAAAAACAAAAAAGATTGTACAAATTTGTGTATGTATTATATATATTGAATTATATAATTACCGAAGAGACATCCAAAGGTAGTATGAAGATTATTAATAGAGAAAAGTACCAAGCTATCAGTACAGAGACAGTGACTATAATGTGATGGCGAAACACGTTTCCGTATTTAAAAAGCAAAGTTGCGGCCAGCAAAAACGCCACTATGATCTCCGTCAGAAATGCACCGAGTACCATCTTGTCTTTTATCTCACGCAACAGTGATATCTAATGAATCCTACAAGTTTTTGAACTATCACTGGTATACTTATGCATTTATATTGGGACTGGTTTCTGCTTCTTGTGCTTCTCTGACTTTGATTTCTGCATCTCTTTGCATTTTCTCAAGTTTCTCTAAAGTGACCGATTTTAACGGAATCAATTTCGGTTTACAGAGTATATAATCCAACGTGTCCTCCTGATATAATAGACCTTGTTTTGGAAGGACTATGTCGCACTGTTCGACTTGATTGTCTGTAGACTCTGACATTTTTGGTCGATCCGCGACGTCTCAGTGAATTGATAACATCTTCATTGTGATATCTGATAGCAGAGAAACATCATGATGAAATCTCAATCGTGCTAGTATAATTTTCCTTCAAAGAAAAAATAATTGTAAAATATAAAATAAATTTTATTTGATGATATCATATTTTTATAATGTGAAAAATGACCGATATCAACTGTAATACACAAGGAAAAGTTATATATATTTAATCAAAACACCAAATTATATTTATTTCAATTGTGACAGAGAGACATTGAGAGAACAAGGTACGTAAATGGAATTTAAGTTAATTGAGACATCAACATCCTTGTGCATATTTAATCTGGCGCAATTGATAAAATGCTTAGCGCAATTGTCGCTCGTTGAAGCTAATTTCCTCCTCGCGTGTTCTTATCGTCTGTTGGGTAATAATATAAGACACGCACGTGACACTCGGGTCGCAGCTGGTTATCGAACTCGCGCGAATCCCTTCTGACAGATCCAGACAGACGGAGCAAATCTTTACGGAATCGTGAATCGCCATGGACTTGCATGGACTGCTGTCAAGACACACGGACGTCGCGAAGCAACAGTGAAATTAAAAACTAACAATAATCAGCAACGATTGTAGGTAAATCGTTATCTACAGTCGTACAAATTATTAACAAGAGATAATTTATCATCTCATACTGCTCCGATATTCGTTGAACATCCAACACACAAATATATATTGCTGTAAAAAAAAAAAGATAAATTACTTCCGTTTATATTTTTATTGACACCGATAGCCTGAGATCTTTTTAATGATATTTTTTATATTCAAAATAAAATGGATGTACAATCGATTATTGTTATTAATAGAGGTGGAAGAAAACAAAAACTCTGAAAGTGCAAAAAATAAATTTTAAAAAGACTGCGGTATAAAGAGAAAAATAAAAAATATTAAAATACATTTAAAAAAAATAAAATTTTTTTAGGTGGTTTATTTCATAGATTTTGAGATCATCATATTATTATAATATATTATAATAAAACCGAAATGTTTTCATCACGTTAAAATTAGTAAAATATATAATTTGTAACATAAATTCTTATTTTTCATACAAAAAATTTGTCACTCGATGAAATATAAATATATATATGTATTTCATACGATTATATTTCATAATATATGAAAGAAAAATGCAAGAGAATATGCAGAAAAAAAGAGAGAGAAGAAACTATACACAATTTTGGATAAAAAAAGCAAGTATTTTTTTTTATTTAACGTAAGAGACTGGAATATAGATCCTTATTTATAATTTTCAGATCGCTATCACATTTTGTCGAATCTTTAAACATATCATGATTTTTCAAATTTCAAATCGTAGTTACAATCTGACACAAGTTCAAACATATGTACGTGTATACTATATAAACAAATCTGAAGCACTTATTAAAAAATATATACATAATCATGTATATATTTTAATAAATACACTGCACAGTGTCTGTGTATATTTTATCTTACGTTATATTTAGTATCTAACGTTTATTAAAATTTATATCGCCGTTCGTAAAGCGCGCGCGCATGCGCGCGGCGGACTATGTGACACGTGACAGCAGTAGGTGCCAATCTACGAGACGAAAAATCCGTCGAAGCTACAATTACACCTCTTGCAGATCACTTCTCTCCTTTCTCTCTCCGACATTCGCGTATACATTGGTAGCTTTCCAGCAAGAAACACACATAAACACAGTATCATAAGATCAGCTGTCAAATGGAAAAATTTTAGGATCTCAAAAATTCTCTATTTGATATCCCATTGTGTCTATTTAAATTTTTTCGCTAAAAAACTTGCGATTCCATCTCGCTTTTAAGTGCAAGAGAAATATGAGAAGGTGCAACAGACTTCGAATCCGAGCGCGCGCGCGCGCGCGCGTAGTGGACCACGTGACACGTGACAGTTGTAGCTGCCAATCTACGAGACGAAAAATCCGTCGAAGCTACAATTACACTTCTCGCAAATCGCTTCTCTCCTTTCTCTCTCCCACGCTCACGTATACATTGGAAGCTTTTCAGCAAAAAAACACACATAAACACAGTATCATATGATCAGCTGTCAAATGAAAAAACTTTAGAGTCTTCAAAAATTCTCTCTATTTAATATCTCATTGTGTCTATTTGTGTTTTCTCGCTGAAAAGCTCCCATTCCAATCATTCCATCTCGCTTTTAAGTGCAAGAAGGTGCAACAGACTTCAAGTCAGACTTCAAATCCGAGCGCGCGCGCGCGCACACGTGACTCTTCCTGTCACCACCACCACCAGTACCATCACCACCACCACCACCATCACCGTCGCAGCATCCCTCCACGAGCCGCCGCCGCGGCTTCAAAACCTGTCGGTCTGCATTCCAGTGCCGCCGCCGGTGAAGCCGCCAAGTCGGCCGCAGAGCGGCCTCGTCGTCAAAAGCGTCGTCGTCTCGTCGTCGTCCCTCGTTGTTTCTGCGCGTCCGGACCTGAGCGGCGGTTGCTCGGAACGCGTCGTCGTGCTCCCACAGCGCGTTTCAAAAAAAAAAAAAAAAAAAAAACGCGAACGAACGGCGAACATGAAGTAAGAAGGCGAAAAGCGAGTGACGAGGAAGAAGAAGCGAGGGGGGCCCCGTGTGACCGACGACAAAGGAACGCGCACGGCGTAGCCGGGCCGCATCGCCCGGGATCGACCTTTTTTTTTCTTCTTCTTCCCTCCCCTCGAGAGAGGAGCGAGCACAACGTGCGATATTGTGCCCATTCCAAATTATACGTTCACGAGGAACTACGACGCGGGACGACGCGATCCCTCTTCTTCTCGGCGTCGACTCGTGCTTGGCTCGGATCGAGAGGAAAAAAAAAAAAGGGTAAGCGAAAAAAAATGCGTCTCGACCTGAGCGAGCGTGATCTCGGCTTGATCGGATCGATTTTATATCCGATCTCGAGTCCAATGCACTCATCCTCTCTCCACATTTTTTTTTTTTTTTTTTTTTTTTTTTTGCTATTAAGTCCCCGCCGTTCGAAATCCTCGTGCGAATGTCGTCCGATTGTATCGAGGCATCCGGAGAAACGGTACTCGATCATGATTTATATACGAGAGAATTTGATCGATTTTGAATTATTGATTGTTGATTATACTCAAAAATTAGATTTGAGATTCTAGTCTTTTTCATTGTGTTTTAAATTCTCTGCATTTAAAATAGATACCTTCATCTGCGCTTTCTGCGTTTAAAATATAATAGTATATATGTATAAAGAGAGAGAGAGAGAGAGAGAGAAAGAAAGAGAAAGAGAAGAAACAAGATATAGAAGGCACAATTAAAATAGACGGAATTAGATTACTTTAATAAGTGAATGCGATCTCTCAGATTCTCTCTCTGAATTCTTCTCCCGTCTTTTTCTAAAGATCTAATATAAAACAATATAATAATATAAAATAATTATAATTAATAATTTAAATCGTTTAATAATTTAATTTAAAAAATCTGAATTTAATAGTTTAATTAAAATTCTACATCGAGATTTTCTTTTAATAAATCTACCATTAATAAAGTTTGTCTTTTATATATTCTGGAAGTTTAAAACAAAATTTATATATATATTTTCACGCTTTGGGAGAGTGAAGGAAGAAGGAAAGGAAGGAGGAAAAAAAAAACAGGTGTAAAAGAAACGCAGGTAGAGGAAGTGCGTAAAGGGAAAGATCCGACGAAACAAGTGTATTCGGACGTTGTAAGGCGAAAGGGGAATCGAGATATCATGCCAGGGGAGTGCAGGAGGAGTAAAAAGAAGACCTCTCATTCGTTATCGTCGCTTCACCAGCGTCCGCTCCTCGTAATCCCCGGCGTTCCTTTTTAAATCTCACCTGTACGCGATCCAAATCTCTCGTCCTCACAGTGTGCTGTCGCATCGCCTTCATCACTGATCCCTCAAATGCAAATTGTCAAACTATTGATGGATAGAAACTAATAATAAACTCGAAGTTGCCAATCTTTTTTCATACATATCAAGCAGTGCATCTCGAGAAGTGCCATTTCATCCTCTATTATCATTCGATGATCTATCGATCATATCGAGATAAAAATGCGTAGTAAAACCAACATGTAACATTTTTAATCCAATTGTCTGATATAAAGAGGAAAGATTTCGGGTATTAAAAATATAGGGCAGAGTGTCTACTCCCTGGAAAATAAGCCAAGTTGTGAATTATGTTGTGTGAATTATTAAAAATATATTATAAATATATATCTATCTCTGTTTATATATATTCAATGTCTTAACAAAATATTGAATCGAAATTTAAGTTTAAGCTTTGTGTTTTTTGTTTATATGTATAAGCGAAAAACATTTAAAAAAACGCGTACAATAAAAAAAAAACTTATTTTAAAAAATTGCACTAAAAAATTTTTAAAATATTTTCTTTTTACCAGGAATTTTAAACAAAAATGAAGATCAGAGAATGTCTTTACAAGATTTGAATAGACACCGCCTGTAAAGAGATAATTTATCCAAATCGACATAGATGAGAGACCTTTCCAATTTGCTTACAAATCTTAGGAGATACAAAATTGATAAATAATTTTTACATCCCTGTTTAATGGCACTGTAATTAAACGCATTTTTTCATTTACTTTTTAAATTTTCTTCCTCATTTTCAGAATCCCTTATCCGTTAACGAATTGGAGAATTCGTCCTTTTGTCCTCATCGCAATCGCACGATCCTCGATCCCATAAATGCATCACGCGAGAAAGACGATCCTTCGCTGGAATACTAATGACACACCGATAGTCATTTATGGCACGGCCACGCATTCCGCGTAGAACGGGAAGGAGTCTGTATTGTCAGATGGATTGGAGCATTTTCGGCGGAAGAGGTCTTTTTTTCATTGCGAGGATTTTCAAAAGTTTTTCTCCTCGCGAGATAAGTGCCGGCGCGCGCACAGGTCCACTTTCTCCTTATCTCCTTTCATCTATGCTTTTTACAGTACGTAATAACATCAAATTAAATATTCAAGACGGTCTGTCCGTACTGATTAAAGATCTAAGTAAAAATTTGTGCATTAATTCCGCAATATCTCTCTAACAAATGTATTATTTAAAGTAATTTGCATCATTTAGTATTTGGAGATTATATATCGGAGATTAATGTAAACTACAAAAATGCTATTAATTATTATTGTGACAATTTGAATTGATTTCTATCACATTCTATATTTAATTTTACTTATTTCTAATCGCATAAATCAAAATTTTGCAGTGATTTTATCAGACACGCCTATGTAACGCCGACGACGATTGAATCGTTAATACGAAAGCGCACATCGGGCAGATTAGACTTCATTGCGGTGCTACGGATAACGCGTGTAAGCGCATTGGTCGCGCACGTACGCACGCATGCACAGACACAGACCGCATTCGTGCGTGCCCCAAGAGGGAAGCGGAGTGGACAACCACTGCTTTGGAATTCGGCTTCTTTATTTTTACGAGAAGTAATATCGGAGACCAGCCTCTCCTCACGGCCCTTCTCACCTGTTACATACCACCGCCATTATGCTACCATTTAAACAGTAGTTAAGGAGTCTTCTCGTATGCATAAAACGCGCGACCAACTGCCACGCGCGTCGATAGTCTACACTGTGTACATTTAAAATATCCCCTCTTTTCTCATCACTGCCTTTCTCTCTCTCTCTCTCTCTCTCTCTCTCTTTCTCTACCTCTATCTCTTTCTTTCTTTTTTTTTTCTTCTAGTTGATTCATTCGAGATTTAAATTTGGGATTGCAGGCTTGCTTTCAATTAAAATTCTCGTTATCTTGCTTTCTATCCTTCTTCTTGATTTTCGTTTACATTATCGGATGCCGACTCCTCTTCTTACCTATCCAGATACACAGGCAAGCAGCGTGTAAGAAATGTACAATTTTAGAATGTTGGAATTATCATTGAAATTACATCACATAACGCAAGAAAGTTATGAATATTTAAAATTCCACTCGCACATCACAACACACACATATATATCTTCAGCTATAGATTGGATCAAAAAAAGTCTGTACATGTTATAATTAATATGTTAAAATTACTTCTTTTTCAATCGACACATTTAGAGATCCGCGGATGGATATTTAATTGGGTATAAAATCGGCAAAAATTAATATTCGAGGCTTGTAAATTAATGTAAATTGAAAGCAGGAGAGTTAACATATTAAACACTTGTTATATCGCAATAATATTGATGTGTAAAGTTTGTTTTTCTTTTCTATGTTAACATCAAATACTCATTGATAAATCAATTTTAATCGCATTTCGGAGAATATTCGGAATAATACATTAATAATTTCTACGTAGCTTGGCCGCGAACTCGAGACGCGTTCTCGTTTTTCCAGGCTTTCCCGCTATCGGGGAAAATATATCGATAGTTTCGCGCGTATTAAAACGACACGTGGGTGCGTGTGTACGATCAGTATATGAATGGATATACATACCTACGCACACTCAAGAAATGTACAATTTTAGAATGTTGGAATTATCATTGAAATTACATCACACACACACATAACGCAAGAAAATTATGAATATTTAAAATTCCACTCGCACATCACAACACACACATATATATCTTCAGCTATAGATTGGATCAAAAAAAGTCTGTACATGTTATAATTAATATGTTAAAATTACTTCTTTTTCAATCGACACATTTAGAGATCCGCGGATGGATATTTAATTGGGTATAAAATCGGCAAAAATTAATATTCGAGGCTTGTAAATTAATGTAAATTGAAAGCAGGAGAGTTAACATATTAAACACTTGTTATATCGCAATAATATTGATGTGTAAAGTTTGTTTTTCTTTTCTATGTTAACATCAAATACTCATTGATAAATCAATTTTAATCGCATTTCGGAGAATATTCGGAATAATACATTAATAATTTCTACGTAGCTTGGCCGCGAACTCGAGACGCGTTCTCGTTTTTCCAGGCTTTCCCGCTATCGGGGAAAATATATCGATAGTTTCGCGCGTATTAAAACGACACGTGGGTGCGTGTGTACGATCAGTATATGAATGGATATACATACCTACGCACACTCCGTAGCATTGGCTCAACAAGAAAGAATTATTATTATTATCATCGCTCTTTGCGGACGCGCGAGTATATGGTTTTCTGATGGTCGCACGAGAGCGCAGATATCACGTGGGTGTAAAACGGTTCGCGCAATGAACGCAGCTTTCGACGCCGTATATGGATATTTTCTAGATGGCCGCACGTCACCCAGCGACTCACTTTTCCTGCTGCTGCCCTTTGTAAAACAAGAAACTTATATTTGATCATTTATTATCGTATTCGTTGTTATCGTAAGGTTTATTCTTTTAACTGCACATTTTAACTGTAGTAAACTTATTTTCTTCCTTCTGTCTTCCTTTCTAGAGTTTGCTAAATATATGTAGTAGCTTTTTTTTAATATGAATATAAAAATGTGAAGATTCATAATTTTTTTACAATATGTATACAGAGTGTAAAAAATTAGACCGACGAACTTTGAAGGGCGACGTTTAGTTTTAATACTACATGGTATGAAATAGAAGTTTGTGAGTTAAACAATAAACAAACATATAAATGGAAAAATCAAATTATATTTTAATCTTGAACAAAAGACGGAACGAATACATAAAAGTGATTCACTCTTTTTACAGTAAATACTCAAAAATTAATAATAATTAATTAATGTTAATAATTATTATTATTAATCATAATAATAAAAATAATTATTATTATTATTATTTATTAGTAATTAATATTAATTATTAATTAATATTCCATAATGATAAACAAATCATATGCAACTTGTCAAGACACTAAAGACCTCTGCTCTATTGAAAGTTTAAATATGATATAAGACCAAAACGAAACGTCGCAGAGAGAAATATCATCAACAAAAAATATTTATTTTCGAGTCCTCTATTTTCTTTCAAAGTTTGTCGGTCTAACTTTTTTTACACTCTGTATATATAATTATGTGTATAATGTGTGTGTAAGAAATGTATAAGAAGTGTACAATTATATTTTCATAGATAATCACTGTTTCCAGCTTTTGGCTGACATATTATATATATATATGAATAAATCAGTAATTATTATGACTGATGAATGATCATTGTGTCATTCCATCGCCTTAATCTTTAAGGCGAAAAATGCCATGTTCTATTTTCATATGAACTCGACGTTCTAAACTTAAACGGTATGCTTGCTCGGTATTAATTTTAGTGGCTCTTCGCCGGCACTCTGCGAGCCGACGAGTATTTGCTTTCCCGCGAACGAGACCGGAAAAACAACTAATAGCACGCAACATGCTTCATTAACGTAACAACCTTCTTTCGTATTGCTTGCAGAATGTGTCAAGATGACATCTATCTTCCCTTTATGTGGCATCATAGTTATCCTACTTTACGGTCCGATCGGGTCTGTATATGGTGAGTTTCTTATTACTTTAATATGCTGTTTAATATATTACAAATATTGTAAAAATGTATATTAATATAAATATGCTGACTCGGTATATATTTATAGGGGAGAGACAAGAATTGGGTATGTCCTTTACCCGACACCCGCAGCCTCTGGCCGCTCCGTTAAATGACGACGTGAATTTCGAGTGCAGTCTCAATCTCGCCGCGGAGCGTTTTGCATGGCATCACAGACCCCTGAATTCGAACAAATGGATACCGCTGTCCCATCCCACGAACAGCAGCGGCAAAACGTCGCGACACGTTGTCAATTTCGACAACGAGTCAAAGGCCGGAGACTATCGTTGTATCGCGTTCTTTGGTAGGTTTTTGCAAAAGTTCCATCCAACACTGCTTATATTTGATAAATATTTCTCATTTCTTGTGCCTTTTTATCGAATAAAAACTATATATGTGACAAATAATATAAAAATAAGATGTCAAAATTAACATAAAATAGTCTTCATCTCTAAAATGTTTTACAAAATATGCGTACATATTCTTTTTTATTTATTTACAGGTACGAGCGGTTTAGCATCGGATCCAGCGAAATTGACACTCGCGACGATACAGAAATTCTCCGATAAAAACGACGTCTTCATCCAAGTGGCGGAAGGTAACACCGTTCCCATCACGTGTCCCATACCGTATTCCGAACCGGAAGCTATAGTGCAGTTTTACAAGAATGACGAGCTCCTCGAGAATGCAAATCTGGTGAATAGCAAGATAATGGTCATCAAGAATGTCGGATTGTCGAACAGCGGATCGTATCACTGCAGCGCGAACAATTACATAACGCAGCAGATTTTTACGAGTAACCATAAAACAATTTTGACGGTACACGCAAACACGACTTTTCAAGCGCCATATTTTATCAAGCAACCGCAGACGGAATATATAGTTCCGCGCGGTAAAAACATTACGTTGGAATGTTTCGCCGCCGGTTATCCGGTGCCGCGTATCATCTGGAGCCGTTTGGGTAGCTCTCTACCGCTGAAATCGGTACAATCGTCCACCGGTCTGACGATAGTTCACGTGCAGCCGTCCGATCGCGGGGAATACGACTGCGTGTGGAGTAACGAGGTCCGGCAGATTAAATCTGTGATCATCTTGAGGGTCGTAGAGCCACCGAAGGTCACGAGACAACCGAAAGCGTCCACGTTTTCCGAGGGCGGTGAATTGGAGCTCTCATGTAGCGTGACGGGCGAGCCGGAACCGAGCATCGAGTGGTTGATCAACGGAAAATCCTTGGTATCTAACAAGAATCAGGAGATCAGAGGCTCCACTCTTCTCATATCCGAAGTTGAGAAGAAGCACGCCGGGATTGTTCAGTGCGTCGCCAGCAATAAATACGGATCGCATTCGGGATATAACTTATTGCGAGTCAACCCGAAGCAGCATGTTCTCGGTGGCACGACCGAATCGAGACCGGACTACGGAACTATATCGAGGCATAAACATACCAGGGGCGGTGGTAGACGCAGAAATAAAGAAGGAAAAAAGAAGGGCGCAGGTTATTTACTTTGTGTTATCATCGTTTCATATGTTTTCTTATCATTATCAAATGTCTGATTGAGATATCGCGAATTAAATCTCTTGGGTTTCCTTGAAACATGGACAATTTTTAAAAATTGGCAATTTGTATATATAATATAAAAAAAAAACTATTGCATGCAATTAGAATATAATATATTAAATATATATTTTATTTATTTTCCTTTTATTTACAGCAGTTTTGGTACCTCCGAATCAGCCCAATGTCACAAGGTTATCCGATGTCTCTGTCATGGTAAGATGGTCGGTGCCGGAAAACAACGGATTACCTATACAATTCTTCAAAGTTCAATACCGAGAACTCAGCCCAAAGACGAACGGCAAACAGACAAATAAGTGGATGACGGCCAATTCCGAGATACCGAATCACGTACGATCTTTTGAAGTGACCGACTTGCAGCCCGATCATACTTATCGATTTAGGATCGCCGCGGTGTACTCGAATAACGATAACAAATTGAGCACGAATTCCGTGCGTTTTCATCTTAATAGGGACGCTGGCATTGAGAGCAATAAAATGCCGATACCTTTATTGACTAATACCGAAGCGCTGGGACCGCATCAAGTATTATTAATTTGGCAAAATCCCGACAAATCGGTTAAAATTGACGGATTCTACATATATCATCGGGCTTCTACTACAGCCGGCGAATATCTTAAAACCACCGTTGAGGGAAAAGATGCCTACAACATGACCATCTCTCATTTACAATCTGAAACTGTCTACGAATTCAAGATCCAGAGTTTTTCCGTGGATGCGGCGTCGGAATTTTCCCATATATTACGGCAGAAAACTGGAAAAAGTATCGAGGAACATCCGGTTCAACAAGTGATAGCGGAAAATAAATTGAGACCGAGCGAAAGTAACAAGAATGTCAGTATTCAAGTTATAATCGGTGGAGTATTCGGAGGAGCTGTCATTTTAGCTGCTCTCGCCTTTGTAGCGGGATGTTTATATAAAAGAGCAAAGTATAAACAAAATCAGGAATCGCAAAGTGAAGGTATGTGATTTAACCGATGTGAATAATGCGCAATTCTTTATAATAATCCAAATTAAATAATTCTTTTCTTTTAAGGTAAACCGATAACAAATGGACGAGTAATGAATGGTGGAGTTACAGATTCCAAAATTAACATTACGTCTAATCCTCTTGCCGGTCTTGATGCGTCCGAAGATATTATGCAGCCTAAGGTCAGTATTTGTAAGTAACAACATCTGTGCACTTTTGTATCATCGGAAGAAAGTAATGGAACTGGATTCGTTCATTCAGTACTTGGTGAGAGCAATAATAAATAATAACATGTATTTTAAATTTTGTTCTCTATGTTTGATTTTTCCAAAACATAATTATTCATCTTGATCTAGTCATTTACTTTCTTTCCGAGAGTCGGCACGATTCTAGACGAGTGCAGAAAATATGTTGATCATGATCACATAAAAAGATTCTGTTATTTAAATTATTTAAATTATGAGTTATAACTTGGTAAGTTATACATATAATTTTTTTTAAATTGTAGAGATTTTTTTATAGAATTTCTATTATAAAATCTGGTGCATTTATGTGTAGAACTTGACATTGATTTGCCTGCGCTCGTCTAATCGTGCAGTAAATCCGTCGTCGTTGAATTGTCGGCAATATATATTAAGGAGACTAGTCTCTTTTCTAGTTTTAGCATTGGTCGCGCGCTGCTCTTTAATTCTACTGATTCTACTCGCTCTCTGCACTCTCTCTGGAGCCGCTTTTCTTTTGTTTTTCCGAACGCGACACACGCACGTTACCCCTTACACGCTCTAGATCTGAAAAGAAGCGAACGAACACACGCATGTTTCTAAATCCAGAGCGGGCAACAGTCATCGATGGAAATGACGTCGTTTCTAAACGGCCAAAACAACAATGGCAGCAACAATGGACATAACAACGGCGACGCAGCTGGATCTGACGTAAACGTCACGTCGCATAGCGAGCCACCGTCTCTGCGCCAAGGGCCACTGCCTATCGAACAACGTTTGTGAGAATTTATCGCAGCTATGTCTCTGTCTCTTATAGACGGTAAGATTGCGACTGGAGGATCTCGTGATCGAAAAACGGATGCCGACAATCGTATGAGCCTTTAACGAATTTTATTTTATGATATGAAAGGAACGCAAGAGAACATACATGACTTATCTCGACGCGAGTTATATCTCGATGAGAAACTTAACTTATAGGCTGTAGTTAGCTATATTGCAATGAAGAGACTGTTGCAAGACATTTACAGGGTGTCTTTAATAAATATGCTCAAATGTATCGTCGCTGTAAATTGGGATTAACTTGACGTTACTTTTGCATGCAGGAAAAAAAGATGTATCATTTTACATATTCTTTGCCAAACACGATATTTTTGATGTTTAATATAATCAATTATGAAATGTAATATATTGTAAAGAGAAATATTTTCTTTTACATCTATTATTAATCAGTATAAGATTAATTTTTCACAATAGTCAAAATAGTCCCATTTTACAGTATATAAGATTATAAAGTAAATGATCTGATTGCATCTTTGTCTTTCCCTTTTTATAAAAAAAAAAATTATTAAGGATCTTGTCCGTTAAGTAAGCATGAATTCAATTAATGTACCTGCAAAGTGATTGTGACTTTACTGTTACATATATTTACTTAACGGTGACAAGCTAGTGAGCACTGAACAATTTAGATTTTTATATCTCCTTTACAGGCAACTTTTAAGAAAAATTTGTAATAAAAGGTATATATTTTTGAAATACTATGCATATAGGATACATAAAATACGTACAATTACATTAACAATTAATTATTCATCACAATTTATCATCAGTGTTGAGAACAGAAAGTAATGTCAACTTTATGACAGTTACTATAGAAATATCTTTTTAATGAATAATGAATATAATGGTTGAGTCATATATCGTTAACATTATCATGTATGCCTGTTATTTTTATAAATGTTTTCCTAGCTGCAATAGAGATTGAATAATTTATTAATGTCGTTCACGACTTATGCAATATTACGTCATAATATCTCTGTGACGATGATTTGTTATCAAAATTATATAATGAAATGTTATAATGTGTTGTGAGGAAAAAGTGATAAAAAATTATATCTTGATGATTGATATTTGTGTGTAACAGAAAAAAGATGAAAATTGTAAATACAAATGTGTATAAAATTTTTTAAATAAATTATTTAATGTTTGGCTTATAAAAGTACTACAATCGCGTCTGTGTGAATCGATGATAAAGCTAGTGAAAATATACATTGTACATACTAGGATAGTTTTAAACGACACGAATGAACATATGTGCCTTACATCTTGCCTGAAAATAATAATTAATAAAAAAATTATTATTATTTATACATCTGTATACTAGTATTTTGTGTACTTAATTTTTATAAAATAAATTATATTCGAAAGAGAGAGATTTTAAAGATATATGTGTGCATGTATATATGTGATGAAAGCTTTTGTTGTGTACTTTGTAAATTTAGGATAACTATATAATCGTGCTTAATAAATGTAATAATAAAATATAATTAGATATTGAATAATTAGATGTAATTAGATAGCTGTAACGCGTGAAAATATTGGCGAGATTATTATTCAAAATTTGCAGATGAATCTTAGTTTCTTTTATCACAAGAGATTTTTATTACACAGGGTGTTTCAGGTCAGGTCAATGAAACTTCAGAGTCTTATGGAAAATTGAATTTGGAACAAAAAAGTTTCTATAAACATAGATCTGAAAACGCCTAGTTAAAAAGTTATAACTAATAAATTTTCTGTAAATAATTAGTTATGATCAAAATTTAATAAGAACATTTTTATATTTGCATTTGCAACATTTGCATTACAAATGTAGTGTTTATACAAATACCATCAAAAGATGGTTTTTTCAAGTTTCTGCTTTTTTTGTTGTTTTGAGCTTTTTTTTTTTTGAACGTCTTATCAGAATTAAATAAAATTGTTGTAATTTAATTTGTTATTTAATTACCCAACAGATTTATTTCCTTACTTTTTTCAAATGTATGAAGGATTTTGAAGTTATTTTTAAAAATCATCAACAAATCAAAGAAACATGATTTTTCGAAGTTTATTGGCTATAACTTTTTAACGAAGCGTTTCCGGGTCTATGTTTATTGGAACTTTTTTGCTCCAAATTCAATTTCTTAAGATCCTGAAGTTTCATTGACCTGACCTGGAACACCCTATATATTGAATGTGTCTAATCATAGCATGACTCTATAACTTGCATGACTTGCCCAATATAATTATACGCTATTCACTAGTTTTCAGAATGTCGATTCGAAACCACTACTTTTGAATTGAAAGATGCCGCCATCACTTTTGAAAGCGTCACTTCCGAAATCTGTATAAACGGCTCGACAGAGTGCGTTCGATCGATGGTTCCGTTGCGTGGATTTTAAAAAGTTGTGTATAACCGTAAAACGTGTTCGCGCGAATCGTGTTGCCCGGTATATAACATCGCGTAACTTACAAATTGTACTTGTACATACAATAATCACAGGGAGTATTGTCCTCTACGCGGACTGTGATGTTCGAATCCTGGACTACGACGTAACCTGAGGTAAATTAATCGAATACGCGAGTAGAATGCAAAGATACACGATGATACGTTTTATCCAATAGCTCCCCCCCCCCCCCCCCCCCCCCATTTGAATTGGCATACACAGCTTTTTTCGATCGTCCTTAGGATACTGTAAACACCGGAGGACTCTCAACCGATCGAGGGGGACGAATCGGAGAATGTGTGATTTGATAGATTTAAACAGTCCGGATGCAAAGGGGTCACTGGATCGAACGAAACTGGCATCTCCTTTGATACCGGCGCCCAAAAGTGTCGAATCCAACAGCAAGACAGACTCGTTGATGATAACAGAGAAACGAAACGAGAGCGATGGTAACAATCCATTTGATAGAGTGTTGCATGAGACAGTCGAATATGTCAGCAAGAAGGACGATCCCTTCGAAGTGATGTTACAACGAGCTCTAAAGTCCAAGAGGAAAGGAAACGTAGACCTGAGAGCGCGATCTGTGAACTTTGCGGACGATTTTACTCCAAAAAGTAAGAAGAGGTACTTCAAGACGAGAAACAAGACGTTGGATGGGTCTTTGCTCGAAGATAAATTGGATGTGTCCATTGGAGACAAGAAGGTGGAAGTAAGGAAAGAAATTGACAGTCTTGATGTGAGAAACGCTGATGTCTGTGATAATAACATGACAGTTGAATCTTCATTTTATAAAAATAACAATGAAAATACCTTTGTGCCTAAACAAAATGATAAAATAGTTGTTACTAATCCAGAGTCGCTGGAGTTGTCGATTTTAAATCAGTCTGCGATGAATGACACGTTATTAGAAGCAGTTCCTAAGTCTAAAAAGGATGATAATATACCATTTTGCCTAGAGAAAGATACATTGTACAAAGAATTTATTCTCCTTCCAAGTAACAATCTTAAATGGCGTTCCTTGTCGCAAGGAGCTGGAAGGTCACCAACAGCATTATCATGTTTAAATAGGAGATCGCAATCTGTAACGGATGATGAGAAGAAAATTTCACAAAATGATTATAACATCGTCCCATCTTTTCTAGATAAAGGTTTTTTGGAGAGTAAATATAACGAACAATCTATATTTTCTACTTTATCAAATGTCTCGTCTATAGCCAAATTAAGTTCTATATCAATATCATCGTCAGTATTGTCACTTGATACTATGAATCATGCTTTCTTGGATAGTAACTCATTAAAAGCGAGTCAAGAAAACATAAATACATCTGAAAATTCTGTGGAAATGAAGTCAAAGCAGTACAATTTATCAGATCTAGCAGAAAGACTTGAAAAATTAAAATGTGCTATGAATGGGACGATTAGTATCTCAAATAAAATAGAAGCTGAATCTAATTTCATGAAAGAAGAAAAACAAATCACAAATGATAAATTGATAGATGTCGATGTGTTCTTACCGGAAGAAAATTCCAGTAAAGAACGTAATAAAAGCTCAAGCTCCATTGCTTCTTTGGAATCTGTATTTGCTGTAAGATATTTATCCTCACATAATTGGCATGTTTAAAATTATTTTATAAAAATATTTCAGAATTTGATTAATTTTATTTATAGTATATTTTAAAAATTAAATGTAGATGAATAATTTTAGAGATAATTAATTTATTTCCAAACTATCATACATTAGTATAAGGAATAAAAATTGATTACAGGATACAGATAAAGTCAACAAGTCAATAATGAACGAGGCCAAGATGCTTTCAAAGACTTTTGAGGAATTAGCGCTAAGAACAGATTCTGGATGTAAGTATTTTATTAAGTAATAGTTTTACATTATACTATATGTAATTTTGCAAAAATATAACTTGCAGCTAATTTAAATGCTTAATACTTTTCTCATTATATTCTCCTTATTTAATATGTTTTTCATTATTTTCTTTTTTTTTTTTTTTCAGCTAGTGTCGATGATGATTTAATTTCAAATAATACTCTGTGGATGTCAGAATTATTACCAGCGTTTGAGGATGATCTTGTAGTAGATAATTTGATTGAATTACCTATTTCGCCAGAAAAAAGTTCAAAACAATGCATTAAAAACAATGATAAAGAGCAATCTCTTTCAAATATTGATAAGATAGATGAAAATTCTTTAAAAGAAATTGAGCCACAATTCACTGACTGCGTAAAGCAGACAATTGTAACATCATTACTAACAGATCTCAGAAAATTGATTAAAGTAGAAAATAATCCAGAAGTCAATAAATTACTTGATAATTTGGAGAATGTTATAGATACTAACTGTAAAAATAACACAGAATTATTAGTAACCTGTCTCAACCTATCAAACGAGTTGCGAAGTCCTCAGAAAATATCATCTGATATTGAAAAATCTGAAGTTGTAAATATCGATAAAAGCAAAGAAGAAAGCGAAAAAATATTGTTCAAAGAAGAGATCTGTAATGTTGAAAAGTTGTCCTTGGATATAAGTTGTAAATTGGAAAATACATCACAGGCTACAACTAACAGTAGCGATAATTTATCACTTAAGCCTTCATCTTATGAAAATAATGATGAAAATCATCTGAATATTACAAATTCACCTAAAGAGGTATATACAAATTATGCTAAAGAGAAAGATAATCAGTCAGATGAAAAACTAGCAATAGAATTACTGATGAATCTTGGAAAATTGTTGAATGTTCAAATTGAGGATGCTACGACAATGCAGTTACTTAAATGTATAGGAAAAGCTTTGAATGTTGCATCAAATAATTATAAAATTGAAAATGAGATACCGGATAGTAATAAAATGCATAGTATTCAACAAATTACACCAAAAAAGACTTCAGAATTTGATCGTAACGCGCATTCGTCCACACATTCGACAAAAACGGAGCATAGACGAAGCTTCGACAGAAAATCTAAAGTGAATAAATTTTTTACAATATTTTATAATTTTGATTATTTATGTTATTTATATCTCATTATATTTTACATGTACCTGCTCGAGAAGACAGCTAGAAGAAGTATATCCGTGATGCGTTCATCGCCCAAAAAGACATCAAATACGCAAATACATAAATATAGAAGAACATCCGAATTTGAAGATTGCAAGAAACGTTTTTTAAACGATTCTGGATTAGTTGATAATTTAGCAAGTAAAAAAGTTGTGGTTCCAGAAGCATGTAACATGGAAAAAGGTAATTTGTGTATTAGATATATATTGTGCGCATTGTTATTAAATAATACTTTATTTAAAATGCAGATGATCAAAATTTTATTATATGCATGAATATTTCAGCGGAGATACAGTCTGGCACCAAAAAAAAAGAGAAATTCATTGCTATAAGCGATGTTAAAAATAAGTTAAAAAAAAGGACAGACATAGTCAATAAGAGAGGTCCTATGAAAGCAGTGCATCCTGTAGATAATATGCAGAAGAAAGGAAGTATGTTTAATTTGCTAAGAGAAATTTAAAGAAAGCTCAGTCACTGAATTGAATATTTATAATTGTTATTATAAAGATAAGTGACAATAACTATAAAAATCTATATATTAATCGATAATATAATTTCAAATTTCTTAAATTTTTATTACAATATAGCATTAATCGTTAAACAAACAACACCATCTTCTCAAACTATTACGCCGCCTAAATCCGATAAAACTACTCCTTGCCGTAAAATAGTCAGCAGCACTCCCAATTCAATGGACGATAAATATTATATGGCTAAGAAATCTGCAAGATCCCAGCCGGTAGCTTCGTCGACACCAGACGATCAAAACAGCAAGGCTTCGAAAGCGAAGTTGTCCGCTAATAAAAAACGTAATCTTTCTTGTGATATTTCGCCGGTGACTACATATATAAATACGAGCGGCAGTGGTGAACGGAAAGAGAGTCCCAAGAGGTAAGCATTAATACTTTTAAACGCGAGCTACATTTTACAAGAGAGATAATTGATTAAAAACAGAAGAAAAGAGGAAAAACTATACATAATATTATTGTGGCAATAACACTTGTCTATATATTTTAGGCCATCCAAGCTGCCAACTCCGAAGAAATGTACAACACCTAAAGCGGAGGTGTTTGGTATCCCGAAGTTTTCAACGCCACCAAGACACAATTTATCGTTCAACCATGTAAACCATCAGCGATCTCCGCAACGTTTAAATAGGAGTTTAATAATGGATCGTCAGCGATACTCTCCTGTCTATCAGAAAAAGAGTGCCGAAAAGATGCAACAGAGTCCGTTGAAAGAAAATAGAATCACTGCAAAAGTGAAGCCGCTTAATTTGGTATGTGTATATTTTACTGACACAAATATACAAAAAATCGCCTTCTTGTCGGATTAACTTATTTTACAATTATGTTATACGCAGATCTCTAAACTTAAACAGCACGGTACCGGTGATCCCATCGACAAGGAAAACAATTATGCTTAGATAGTGATGCAACGTGAGAATTGGAACGATTGTACTACCGTGATATTAAAGATTCCTTCATAGAAATCATGAAAAGAAAGACACAGTCTTCTTTTTTTCATATATATATGTTTTCGAAATATTTATATGTTTTATAATAAAATACATGCGAGATTATGTACGAAAATATCATATTTATGAATCTTGAAATAATCTTGTTAGGATGTAATAAACATTCTTGTTCGAATTTATCGAGTAATCGATCCGAATAATGGTGGCGCGAATTTTTTTCACATCACATTTGCTGCGAAAAATGTTTTGAAAATTGACTTTAAAATTTTGCCGCCCCTTTTCCCCTTCCCAATTACATGTCTACAACGTCCAGAAAAATCCACGCGGTGCATCCTAGATAGAAAAAGAGAAAGAATAATGGAATATGCACAAAAATGAAAACATTCGTCATGCGCAGTATGAAAAATTGTCAGGAGATTCGTCTGTGACTAATGAAAATGAAAAAATGTTCTCAGATCATGGGATATTTCCAAGCATGCGCCAACCCACCATGTTTTGTACGCATGCGTACACTCGCACAGCAGACTACGCGACAAATTGTTTGACCGGAAACGGAAAATAGCAGTGCCGTGATTTTTTGCAGTGATAAGGATAGAGCAAGATTGGATCGCAGTCTGCTATAACTCGTGCATATTTTTTACAAATTTTCTTCAAAAGAATTTGGGAAAATACTGTAAATTTAGAGAATTTTTTTTAATTATATATATATAATTTGAAAATTTTTTCAATTTTATATATAAATTTTTCAAATTTTATATATATAATATAGACAATTTTTTCAAATTTTATATATATATATATATACATAATTTAGTGAATTTTTTCAAATTATATATATATATAATTTTGAGAATCTTCAAATTTTATTATAATTTTATACATATCTTATATGTATATATATATAATATACATAGAGAATTTTTTCAAATTTTACATATATAAATTTACAATATTAATTTACAATATTTTCCCAATATAAAGAAATTAAATTTCCCAAATTTTGTCGAAGAAAATTTTTAGAAAAAATATATATACAGAAATAGGTTTTCAATCGTTGTCTTCTTCAAGAAACTCTTGTATAGATCAGATCTAATTCGAAAGATATTACACCTCATCGTAACGAGGTGGTGGCTATGTAAAATCGCCTGTTTGGGAGGAGGAGCCGCGAGGGAGTTGGGCACCCACGTGACTTGCGGCCGGCCCTGTCGCCGGTACAAAAAGTGCGCGTTGCGTGTGCCATCTTGGCGCGGTCTCTCCATATCGCATTGAGTCGCGGCCGGTGTTGGATCCGTTTGTTTTTAATCCGAAAACTCGTACGGCTGACAACGCGCGCGCATCTAAACCCGATCAAACGAATCTCCGGCGATCGACGAACGAGACGAGGACATCCGTATATCTTCCACAGATATGTATTTTCATCATTTCGATTAGCTAGTTTCGTGCGATTATAGGTTGCTGCGCCGTTTCTTTCCGGCGAGCAGAAGCGTCGTCATCGAGTTATCGGCGCGCCAGAGGCCATTCGAGAGACGAGAGAAACGGAGAAGCGTTATCTTCTCGTCGAAGACACCTCCTGGATCCCGATTTTACGCGCGTCGCGCGTAAAAAGGGGATGACACGCGCGTAAAAGGCGAACGACAAGGACGACACGCGTCATCGGTAAGTTTGACGATCCGGTGCTTTGCGTCGGACCCAAAGACAGAGAGCGCGATTTCAATTGTTACAAATCGCCTCGTCTCTTCCCATTGTCCGATCTTTTCGGATACAAGAGGCAGACGGACGAGCGAGCGCCGTCCAGGAAAGACATATCGCCGTGCGCGAGCGTCCATCGACATTCATCCGCTTTATCGCTAATTAATCAGTCGGTCTCTGCGCGAGCGGATGTTGCGTCGATGATACTCCGCCAGCATCGATATCGACGATGTCGATCCGGTGACAGCGGAACGCGGCGCACGCGAGAGCAGCGAGCAGCTGACGAGAGTACCGCGCCGTGGTACACACGTACGCGAACGCTACACCGACGCGCGCGCGCTCACTCACACAGGCGCGGGAGCACGTGCGCGCGCAGGTACTGACGAAGCGCACTGACGTTGGCGACGCGCCGCGGTCGCGCCGCGCGCGCGAGCGTCTGCCCGCTGCCGACGTATTCACGCTGGTATTCGCACAGTCGCCGCGGCCGTGCGAGGTTCGTTTGAGGTTAGGGTCTGCCGTTCTCCCTCCCCGCCGCGCGCGCGCGCGCGCGCGTGTCTCTCTCTTCGGACGTCTTTTTTTTTTCCTCCCCCCCGGGATACCTTCCTCGCGACGGAATCCGAATTCCGTCGGCTTCCGATCGACGGGACGACGTCGTCCGTAAAATTCGCGTCGCGTCACGTGGCCCCCATCGCTCGTCTCGTCCGCGTTCCACTTGGCGCGGACCGAGGGAGGAGGAGGTGTGCGCACTTATTACGCGCTTTCGGCACGTAGGTAAGTATAGGCGCGTGAAAAAGCGTGTTTCCTCGACTCGGAGAAAAAAAAAAAAAAAAAAAAACATCGCGACCCTATCCCCGAGAGGGGACGTACGTCATATGAATCGCGACGTCGCGACGATATGCGCGTATATACCGGCGGACGTGCCCCGTGGCCATTGTTTACGAGCGCGAAGAATTGACCGATCGGTCCCCGCGACCGTCGGTCACCGGACGAGCCGGGAATAAGGTAACACGCGCGATTGGCAACTCGGATCTCCCCGAACGCGGTTTCCGCGACGCGCGGGTGGCTCTTTCCCCGAGTCTGTCGAGAGCGCGGATGAGGGTGTGAAACGCGCACATCGCAGTTCGATCCGCGACGCGAGATTGTCATCACGCGCGCGCGTGTCCTTGTATAATATACTCGCGGTTGGCACCATCGCTCCTCTCCTCTCCGGAACGGGAGAGTAAGTAGTCGTCGGAATTCGCGGAAGCGATAAGAGCGCGGCGCGATTTGAAAACTTTTCTCGGAAGCGTGAAAGGCTAAACATCAACGATCGTCGTCATTCTATCGGGTAATCACACGCACGGTAACCTCGTATTTTAATTAAAAGGGGTCGCTTCGACGAGATATTTGGCGCGGGGAGACGCCATAATTCCCGCGATCGACTGGCGGCCCTCTCGATCATTCGCCATCGGACACGGGTTCTTTTCCCTTCTTCTCGGACGGATGGAACGGACGCGCGTCGTGATGCGTGCGTCGCAAAACGAGGATCAGATTTATCGCGCGCGCGATACGTATAGATAGGTGTACGTACGTACATACGCGCGCGCCAAAGAACGAGTTCGATAGAGCGCGCCCATCGTCGGAGCGAGAGCGACGGAGACAGAGAGAAAGAAAGAGAGAGAGAGAGAGAGAGGGAACAGATGATCCGCGCGATTCTCGCGACGACACGAGAGGAGGAAGAGTATTAGGTTCGCGACAAGCCGTTCGACGACGCGTTCCCTCGTACACTGTGACATATCTTCCCGGGACGATATTGAAAATAATATCGTGCGTGCAGGCGCGACGCGGAATTTAAATTTGGTATCGGCATCTGGTGTGCGAACTGACCGGCGCGCACACACGCGAGAGCGCGCGCGTTGACGGGAAGAGAGGATCGTCCGGCGCGTGAATCGTCATCGGAACGTGTGTCGTTCGGAAAAGGTATAAAAAGTGCGCTTCATTTTTCAAGGGACGAAAGAGATAGATAGAGAGAGAGAGAGAGAGAGAGAGCCTGGTGGATCATCGTCATCTTCATCCATCTCCGGTGGTGCGGTTAGCGAAGCGACCGGCTGAATCTTGGCAGAAGAAAAAGAGAGAGAGAGATAGAGAGAGTGTCGCGCCCCTGCATATCGATACAGATGACAAAGATGCAACAGCACCCGGTGCAGGCAGCAGCGGCGCAGATCACGCACGAGGAGCACATACTGGAGGCGATCGATCAGCTGCGTCGACGTAAAGCCCGCCCCGATGCCGATCGCATCTGCAATTACCTCCTGCGTAATTTCGCGGTGGACGCGCGCGACACGATCGCCGATCTACATCGGCTGATCGAGGTGGAGAAGGTGATCCAGGTGGATTACAAGGGTAACACGAGCTATCGCAACGCGAAAAAGTGGTCGCGCCTACAGCTGTTCAAGAATCGTCCGGAGGGCTTTCTCAAGGAGAAACTCAACTCGAGCATGGTTTCGAGCGCGGTTGCCGAGCTCGTCGTCGAGGAGCCAGATTATCTCGATCAGGGCGTACCGGCCGGTCGTCTGATCGAGCAGCTGCTCGACGGGGTCTCGAGCCCGACGTCGCGCCGCGTCGTCGAGGAGTTCCTCGGCCGTGAGGTCGCCAGCGGTAATCTCGCGCGCCTGTCCAACGGCAATTACTCGCTGGTGGCGACGTCCGACATGACGGACGCGGCGACGCCGTCACGACGCAGCGGCGGCGGCGACTTACAGCCGTCCTCCTCCTCCTCCTCGTCCTCCTCCTCCTCATCCACCTCCTCCGTTACCTGCGCCCTGGAGAACGGCAACGCGACGACGCAACGACGCGTCGGTAAGGCAACGACGCAGAGTAACGGCACCGTCAGCAATGGCACCGTTAGCAGCACCAACGCCAGCACCAATGGTTTAACGACGACGACGATGACGACGACGACGACGACGACGACGACGACGACATCGTCGGCGGCAGCGGAGCTCTACGAATTCAACGAGACGGATAATCTGAGCGACACGACGTCGGGATCGTCGCGATCGTCCTCGCGACAGGCCAGTCACAGCCCGAAACTGGATCAGCAGGATCAACAGGATTGCATCAAGAAGGAAGAGGGATATGATATCGTGGATAATAAGAACGATGCCGAGCATGGCGGTACCGCGTCGTCGCCGCCGTCTGTCGAGCTGTCATGTAACGGCGATGACAGCAAACAGCTGAGCGGCTCGCCAGAGGTAGCGGTATCGTCGACGACGTTCGTGGAAAATGATGTTATCAAGGAGGAGCCGAGGGGCAACAACGACGTTCAAAAACCGGCGCCTAACCTTAAAAGAACCGCCAAGGCCGAGCGCAAGCAGCGTCTCTTCGCGAGGACGGACGATCGGATAGATATCGAGATCAAGTTCGAGGATTATCAACCGGGTAAGGAGGAGCGGGAGAAGCGAGAGGAGACCGGCCGGCGTTCGAGCGAGGATCGCGAGGACGAGGACGCCGGCAGGAGTTCGTCGACCAACACGTCCCCGACTCCGTCCAATGTAAACACCGGTGGATTTCGTAGCGCGAGGAGAAAGGTAGCGAAAGTGTTCAGTGTGATCTCTGTAATGATTGCAGAGAAGCATTTTGTAAATATTTTTGAAACACATCCTTGACATGTGATAATTTTACTCCGGCTTTCAGTATTGGTTTATCATTATTTGACATTACTACACACACACACACACACATATATATATTTTTTGTTTTTATATACAGACTTCTGTCTAAAGTGTCTATAAAGTCAGAAAAATAAATTGTACAGATAAACAACTTGTCAAATCAACCATCTTACATTTGCTTTTGCATTTTAGAGAGCTAGAAAAGTATTCGATCCTTCTGACAACAATTTGGTGAAACGCAAACGTGGTAGACAGCCAGGTAGCCACAACAAAAATTCCATGTTGCAAGATTCTCAGGATTCTACCAAGACGAATATTAAAGATGGACCGTGTAGGCAGTGTAGTCTTTGTGCCAAGGAAAAACAGGAAGCTCTCGTAGCTTGTAGGGACTGTACAGTACGAGGTAAGGTTCTTGAACAAAAATTAATTTGTCTCAATTTTTATTTTGTTATCAATACTTATGTATTATGTTACACTTGCAGCACATCCGAGTTGCATTTACAGTCCAGAGGAGATGCTTCAAAAGGTCAATAGTAATTGGCAATGTGAGCGCTGTAAAACTTGTACCGTGTGTTGTGAGACATCTGACGCTGTAAGTTTTCAGTACATAGTTTCCTATTTTATTCGGTATTTTATACAATAAATTTTTATTTTGTTATTTTTTTTACTGTAGGGACCTCTAGTGACTTGTTTTAGCTGCGACGATGCCTATCATTATTTCTGTCACACGTCACGTGTCACAATATCAAAATCGAGTTCCAAATGGTACTGCAATGAATGCGCGCAAAAGCAACAGTGCAAAGTGAACGACAGCCAAAACGCTAATTTGGTAAATGGGAACAGCAGGCCGGAAAGCCCGTCCAACGCGCCAATCTTGCCACCGGTTCTGAGCCCGCAAGTGTCTCCTACCAGGGGTTCTTGCGATCAAATGGAGGAAGATGGCCCCAAAGGTCCCATCGATCCAAATATTCCTGACGCAAGGTGTTGGACTTCTGAACAAGTATACCAATATTTCGCTAGATTGTTCCCCAAAGAAGCTGAAGTCTTTCGGCAGCAGGTAAGTAAATTTATGTCAACATAACATCTTGTTCACATAATCATCTCAGTGCTCGCTCGCATTGCCATTTATCATATATATCATTCACGTTTGTATTTCAGGAAATAGACGGCCATGCGCTTTTAATGATGAGTCGAAAAGATGTACTATGCGGACTTAATTTACTATTAGGTCCCGCCTTGAAGATTTATCGACACGTATTGAAGCTTCAATTTCGCAGAGATGATCCCGAACTCTATTGGCAATAATACAGACGATCTTGTATAAAATCGATTTTTATTATGTTGTATGCAATCTATAATTTAAAAGATTTAATTTGTACTTTATACAATTAAATCTGATAGATTAAGGTTGCGATAATTTTCTAGTTTCTAGGCGCAATCTACATTGTATATATGAATTAAATGTGTGATATATTGCTAAAGATCTCTCTTGCGAATATTGAGGATATCTCATGCCGATTCGCGCTCCTAATAATGCAGCTAAAGCGGGCTTCGTTTATTATTAAGTTCCGCATTGAAAAGATATGCCGATATACATGCTAAAGTACGTAGAGACGATCACGAATTCTACTGGCAATAACATAGATGATGTTCTAGCATGAAATCGATCTTCACGGCATTGTATATGTGATTTATATTGTACAAATTAAGCCTTCTTACAGATTAAGATCGCGACATAACTACTTCTAGACACGGTCCACATTTGTACATACGAGATATATCGCTAAAGATCTCACGCGAATGATCTATCACAAGCCAAGTTAGTATCGATTTGTAGATGTATGTACACGCGCGATTATATATACTTAATGTACATACATTCCGCCTTTTTCATGCGCGGTGTTTTATAAAAAAGGAACAGATATTTTCTATCTCCGAACTGTTACTTGTTAATGTTAAATTTACGTCTATATTGAGAATTCTAGATGCTGTTCGTTCGGATGAAAACAGTTGGACATGTAAAACGAAGAAAGAGAGAAATTGCTGACTGATTTTACACGATTTTGTGTCACATAACAAACTTATATTTTATTTTCTGGTTTACATATATGGGAATAACACATACTTATTTGTAGAATATGTAGTATAAGATAGTCTACTCTCAAGGAACATGATACTTTGGTTTTACATGTACTTTTCTATTATGCAATAAATATTTTGATATTTATAAATATATTGTAATACATTATAACATTCAGGATTTTCTATAACATCTACTCCTAGACTTTTTAAAACACACATGGATATATATATAGGAATGCTTTAGCTACTCTCAACAAATCGCATCAGAGGAAAAAACACATAAAATCTTACTTTCTACACTCGATATATAGGTAACAATAAGATTTAATTCAAGAATATATAAAAGTCTTGCGAACAGGAACTTGAATTATTTACTTTTTGTACAATACATATACGTTATATATTTCTAGATCACATGTAAATTTTTACAAGATTTGAAACTTTCAAGACTGCATTGCAACACTACAAAGCTAAACTGTGTTGCATAAAGATTTTAACATATTATTCTTACACATGTCTCTCGCGACCGTCCTATCTAAAGAAAGATAAAAACTGTTTATTATTTATTGCTATTCGCCTTGTGCTCCATAAGAATAAACAATATAAATAGAGTTACAATGGAACAACATATGTAAAGTTTTATAACGAATACTGCAAATAATATGTAATGCCTATCAATAATGTAATTTACTGTCTCGTGTATCTCTGGTGATGAAGATTAATAAGAAATTTAAATCAAATATTAAAATTACGCGAATATATTATAGATATATACAATATATTGCCTTACATATCCTATAAACAAGTTCTAACTAACACATGTGATAGGACGTTTTATAAAAACTCTGAAAAGATTCGCGCGAAATGCGTGTATATATAAAATATATATATATATATATATATGTATATATATATCCAATGTACTTGTATATAATTATACTTGTATATATCGTAATCCGCAAAGACAACTATCATAATTCTCATGTATATTTTGCATAAGTACAAGATACAATATTGCTGATGCTCTATGTGTGATACATTTCAAACGACAAAATAACATGCCGTGTAAAAAAAGAAATGAAAACATAATTCTAATCTATCCAGCAGAAATTGAAATCTTTGTATAGGAAATTTCGATCTTTTCCTCACACGGCAAAAAGAAGAGACTGACATGAATGTTTATATATATATATAATATAAAATGTTTATATACCTTTCACAATATATAGACAGATTTTTGGGTGTGGAAAAATTTTCTAATATATCATGATGTGTATAAATCCTTTAGCTATTTCCATAATTTTGTGTATTGTACTATCATCATTTCGATTCTTGGGTGGTGATTTGCCGCAAAATAATAAGAGCGACGAAATCAAATGACGTTTTGATTATGTACCTATATTGTCATTGAAAAAGTTTTAAGTCTATTTCTTTTGCGAATTTGAACTTGTTCGTTGTATAATATATTTGTGTGTTTAAATATATACATATATAAATTATTGCATTTAAAAATGATGAAAATGTTTTATTTTTGATGTTAAAAGTATCATGCTCGATATATATATACATGTCGAAAATGAATAGATAAGAAAAAGAGTTTGTAATATAATTATCAACATAAATTTTTCGAAAAGTTCAGAAATTTTATATTACCAAATAAGCTTATTTTTTTCTGTCATCTCATATCTGTTATTTCATGTTATATATATTGATAAATATATGTGTCAATTTTATATATATAAAAAAAAAATAGCAAATAAATAAGTCGATTTCTTTATAGTATTACTGTGAAATGCAATTTAAGTTTTCAATATGCAATTGCCCATAAACTTAAAATATCCACAGTAGTTGATATTTGTATCATTGCATTGTTATATTAATACTAAGGCTTTCGAAACGTGATACAATCGCGTCTCGCGTAAAATCCTCATCGAAATGTTGTGATTTAAATAACATCGAAAGCTAGTTTTTAAAACTCACAGTGACTGGACGAATGGTCGTATTTAGGTGGCGGATCTTTGTACAATGGGGCTTCATCTGGCATGTACAATGCAACTTTGGGTGAACTAGACATATCGATTAGCATATCTTTGCGGGACGTTGTTGGGGCATCGCCTGTCGATAGACAAAGCCCCAGTATGAACACCATTATGACTATCGCTATGATGGAAGCAAAAAGCCAATAAGGAGGTACTTCAATGACCCAGTAAGGTACTTTTATCTGCTTTAATGCGCAATGAAACCAGTCAGACCCAGGCGTAGACGCTTGCTCGGTTTCACCGGAATAATCAGAGGACAAAGCATAATCCACAGTCTGCGATTTCACAAATTATAAAATGTATGTGTTTGACATTTATATCAAAGCGTATAGCATTAAGGAATTAAAGAAAATGTTACACTTACACCAGCATCCATTGGTACAGTTTTAACATAGGTTTGCGGCAATTTGAAACCATTGGTATCCCACCATCCAGGAAGAAGCTCCTTGCGTAATCCAGGATCGGTTAATATATCATTCTCCGGCATGTCGGGTGACATTAATAAAACATTGGAGTCTATGCCTTCTTCGACACATATAGCGATAGAAAACAGAGACAACAAGTCTGTAACTCGTTGCTTGGCCATCAAATCACAACCGGTACCACAGGCATAACGATTTTGCAGGTTTGTGTAAGCCTCAATGCATGCTACAAACAATGCGACAGCAATTTTGTGAAATGTTTGAATAACATTCTCCCTCTTTATAATAAGTTACATGTGTGGACAAAAGCAATTTTATATAAAAAGAATAAACAAATTCTTTTTAATTATATGTACATAAATATAATTTATAACTTAAAACGTTTCTGCATTTTGTTATATTTTCGGAAATTTACGCAAAATAAAAGATAAAACAATCACACAGATTTACGTACAAGCCTCGCAAGCATCCCTGGTGCCATTCAAACTATTTGATTCCCATCCAGAACGCAAGTCGACCAGATTAAAGAATCTGCAGCCTCGTTGACAGCAGGACTTTACATAAATATTCTAAAAATATATATAACAGATAAATATGACAATATATGACAATGTAGAATTAACGAGAGTAACTAACACGTACGTTTGAAAAACTAGTAGATGTCTTTTCGCACAAACTGATGCAGGGATCCTCGCGACTGTAAATTGTATCCCCGCGAGTCAATTTTGCGACCGATAACACCAGCAACGCTACAATTTCCATGCCTCCTCTCTTCATCTTTACAACAACTGTGGGTAGTTTCTCGAGTTTTAGCTCCTTTCCTTTTTGACGTTTCGCCTCTCGAAGAGGCGAATGATAGGAAGCTCGCAATAAACACGATACTAAGCTTCACTCATCGATCTCCCCCGCTACGCTTTCTTTCCATTTGACATCGATAATTTCCGGAAGTTTACAATAATTAAACTCGCGTTTATCCTTACCATCGATGACGCGACTGTTTCGATATACCGAGTGTTATCAAAGTAATCCGTCAGATTCGCGGATTCGACTCTGACTGCAGAAATTGACAGGCAAACGAATAATCGAGCGAATATCGATTTGATTACAGTGGTAGCGCACGCTACTACTGGTTCACGTGCGCTGATGTCAAGTGAGCCGACCAATGGGATAGCTGGATAGCGAAATGGAATTTGGATGAACGAGCTTTGATTTATAAGAAAAAAAAACTGCAAAATAAAATCCACCGATACGGAGGCTCACAGAGATATATTCCGTGTAAGCGGAATATCTATTATGTAAGAGCCATTATTATTTTTTTATATGACACTCTTTTGCTGTCGAGAGTAAAATCAGAGAAAAATAAAAATGTTTGAGAAAGAAAGTTTTTTTTGTCTGCGCTGAGGTCTCAAAAAAAGACCGAAACGTTCGCGACTTTTATTATACATGTTTTTTATTCTTTAATCAAATTAATTGCACCCTACACTGCGCTGGCTCCTAATTGCCTATTCTAATGTGTTCTCAATTGTGAAAAAGAAAGAGTTTAGGTGAGCAATAGAGGATGTAAAACATCCAAAAGATATAAACATGTCAAATAATGTAAATACCCAGAAGATGTAAATATCCAAGAGAATATAAACACCCAGAGGGTGTAAACTACCTGAAGGTGTAAACATCCAGAGGGTGTAAACATCCTGAGTATGTAAACTTCCTGAGTGTGTAAACTTCTTGAGGGTGTACCCATATACAGCACCGCAAGATTGTAACAACATTGCAGCAACATTTTTCTGCAAGATTACAACATTGCAGAAACATTGCAAAATATTGCTGACATCCTGAGAGTGTAAACTTCCTGAGGGTGAAAACATCTAGAGGATGTCCTTAGAATGTCTTCTAGACGTCTTTTGGACATGTATTGTTGGATAGGGTATCGATCTTTATATGTAAAACAGATAACTTGCCAATCTTTTTTATATACCCAGTGAGCATTATTGAGAGAATGAGCTCTTTAAGAGGACTTTTTAAAGACTTAATTAAATTTTCTTAGAAATGATATCAGTAAGTTATCTTTTTGTCTTGGACTTTGCTGTACTTGCGCATCATATGCGATTGATCAATCGATGAATTAAAAAGCTCGCCCAAAAATATAATACTACAAATAGAACGGTTCTTAACGGTGACATTTTTTTAATCATGAATATAAATAATCGCAATTGCGCTAAAAGATAAATAAACGAATAAAAATGTCGATAATTTAAAAACGATATCTTAAATCGCACAAGATGCGAGATATCGAACATTGTTGAATACAGTGCTATTTAATGGCCGCGTTCAGCAGAGAAAACCGCTTAGTAGCAATCGAATGTGATTGGTTCTTACTTTTAGAACCAACGAACCAACGTCGAGTGTTGACAAGACGATAACTAAGCGCTTTCTCTGCCGAACGCGGCCATTGTAATTGGTGCTAAGTTGGTACTGTGCGCAATGTGCACACGTTACACTTTTCCTTCTTGTATCAGCCACACGGCTGTAATGTGCGAGGCTTATAAATCCATATAAATCGATGATCGCCGATCGAATCATTCCAGTCGACGTTGTTCAACGAAACCAACATCGAGATCAAATCTTGCCGGTGAAGTTTCCTGAAGATATTTTTCCAGTTAATTCATTATCAGGTAAAACTTTTATCTCATTGCATCATTCAAATGTGCGATTGGAACCAAGAGAATAGCTCTATTCTTACGCAACTCTAAGCTGCCATTTCTCAGGGTTAAAGAACGAAGAAATTTGTATTTCTTTTCGTCCTGATTGGCCAATTGATTTTTACTTCAAGCAGTAAATTTTGGAACAAAACCCTGCGCGGAAAATAAAAATGTATATTCAAAAATGTATTATACTTTTTTAAACCAAAGAGTAGATAACGAATGCAAAAAGTGCAACTGCGTAAAATATAGCGTTTTCAAATGAACGGGTTAACCCAATTCGGTTCAATTAATCACTTTATTTTACTATGAATTCAAGCCTTATTTTATTGGCAGAGACGATGCAATGACGTCATTAATCGCTCTGAGAGCGATTAAACTTGCTACATTCGAAAATGCTAATAAATTGGAACTCGTGTCTATCGCCGAGACTAAAATCTAACACGATACATGTAATATATTGATAAATATCATAATCTCGAAGGAAAATATCAATTTTTATAATTGTGTTGACAATAAAAATCACTAATTTTTTAATTTGGATTTTAATCTTTAAAGGTCATCATATATGAGTCATTTTGATATTTATCGGTATTTTATCGAACAATGGAATATCATCCGGAAGATCTTAATCGATAAAAAAAATATTAAAAAATTTATTTTTTATCTTTTGTTGTACATGATCAGTTTCTACAGATGTCGAGGAATATAGATTTTTTCAAGCATTTTGAGACAGTTAAAACTCAAAATACATTGCGATGACTCATATACGTAGTTAGAAACAAAGCAAAAAAAAATATGTGATTTACAAGGATTAAATATGTATTATGTGTTTATGTGTGTGTAACTTTAAATTTCTGTTCATCAAATATTATCCCTAACAATACACATATGCATAGGACATCTAGAGGACATATGTGTTGTTAGGGATCATGTCTCCTCTTCCTTGTTTACATTGTATCATACAAATATTAATTTTTCGACCCATGTTTATTAGGATCTTTTTCCTTCATTTCATGAGGATTATCTGCCCTTAAAGCCCTGAACCCTTTTTTTTATAATATAAGAAGCAACTTGAAACTGATGAGCTATATCTATTGCAATAAAATTTTCATTAAATAGGCCATGACTTCAAAAACAGGGTTAGAAAATCAAGGTTTTGCTACCAAAGCTATTCATGCAGGACAAGATCCATCGCAATGGAGCCATCGTGCGGTTGTGCCACCTTTGGTAATGTCCACAACATTTCAGCATGAATAATTCATTAAAAGTTATCTCTCACTTTACCAATACATAGCTTTTAATTGACAGCAATTGGTTTTTATTCCACCAATCAATGCCAATCATAGCTAACAAACTGTGTGCATCAGTTCTATATAAACCATGCGCAAGTTCTATATAAGTAATAATAAAAATAAAACTAAAATTACACACACATAAATTGACAAAAAAAAGATTAATCATGTTTTTCTCATAAAATTGTTACTTTTTGTTAAATTAAAAAAGAAGAAACAAGAGAGTGATGATTAAAAAATCTAAATAAGTAACAATTTAATAGATGAATAATGAGTTATTAGAGCAAATATATATTTTCAAAACACAGATACTTTAATACAGTTTAGGAATATTTCAATCATTGTTAAGATCTTTATCAAGATTAATGAACACAGTAGTAATTTATTCCTATACTTTACTAACTATACTAATCAAATGACAATTCTCTTTCAATTGTATTTGTGTGCTTATGAAATCTTCAATTCAAATTTCTTTGTTAAGAAACATTTAAAAGTTTTGTATTTGTAGAATGTTAGACAGAGAATTTTTAATTTAAAAACATTCAAGTTTAAATATTATGAAAGAAATACATATATGTATAACAGCATTTTATTTTTAATTTATTTAGGGCTATGATTATGGTAGAAGCGGCAATCCAATACGCAATGTGCTAGAGACATGTCTGGCTGCTCTAGATGATGGCAAACATGGTTTTGCCTTTTCATCTGGTTTAGGTACAACAACTGCAATTACTGCTTTATTGCAAGCAGGAGATCATCTTGTTGCTGGAGATGATCTTTATGGTGGTACCAATCGGTATATCCAAAAATGTTTAAAAAATCATGGCGTCACATACTCCTTCATAGATATAACTAAAGTAGAGAATGTTATAAATGCCATACAACCAAATACAAAGGTTAGATTAAAAATATTGTTTTTTCTCTCTCTCTTTTTCAGATTTACTTTATTTTTGAATTTAATGATATTTTACTTTAAATGTGTATTAGAGAGTTTTTAACATATGATTTCATTTTCTGCATTTTATAATTTACAGATGGTATGGCTAGAGTCACCAACAAATCCTTTATTGAAAATTACAGATATTAAAGCCGTCGCTGATAGCTTAAAGTCTCATCGTCAAGACATTATTCTAGTCGTCGATAATACATTCTTGACATGCTATTTCCAGGTAAATTCAACTCACAATTCCATGAGAAAAATATTTAGATGTATATCTAAATACAAACTACAACACAAACATATTTTACTTTCAACAGAAGCCACTTGAACTCGGTGCCGATATAGTGATGTATTCGCTAACGAAATATATGAACGGTCATTCAGACGTCATTATGGGAGCTGCGATCACGCGCCGAGATGATCTCGCGGAAAAATTGCGATTCTTACAAAATGGTAAGCCGATAAAAAATTTTTCAAGTTGTATATTCAAAAGTTTTGTATAATATCTTTTTGGAATTCAGCCATGGGTATTATTCCATCGCCCTTTGACTGCTCTATGGTCAATCGAAGCTTGAAGACGCTCGAACTCAGGATGCAACAGCACATGAAAAACTGCCTGGCTGTAGCAAAGTTTCTGGAATCTCACCCTTGCGTTGAACGAGTGTTTCATCCATGTACATATGCGTTATTTTTCTCCTTATTTTTGTTGCGTACATAATTAATGCTTCAATGTTTAACAACGTCTGATAAAATATCCACGAGATAAAGCATGCACGTGTCGTTGCAGACCTACCGTCCCATCCGCAACATGAACTGGCTCTCAAGCAAACAACAGGTCACAGCGGTATGGTTTCCTTCTATCTGAAAGGTGATGCGCGAAAATTTCTAAAAGCTTTAAAGGTCTTCATTTTAGCTGAATCCTTGGGAGGTTACGAGTCGCTAGCCGAATTACCGTAAGTATACAAAATTAATTGGCATTAAGTATTTATAAACGTATTAATATATTTTTCTCACATAGATCCGTTATGACGCACGCATCTATACCCGAAGATATGCGAATTGCATTAGGTATAACAGATAAATTGATTCGTTTATCTGTCGGTATCGAAACAGAGCAGGATCTCATAGCTGATATCAAACAAGCATTAATTGCTTGTCAATAAACTAACAAATGTAATTAGATAACCACAAAAATAATATATATTCTGATCTGTATACTAACTCTGTTAATGTATAGCTGATATCATAAACCTCTACAAATTTGTCAAAGATTTTCATAAACATGCAAATACTTTCTATCGATATCAATAGGTATATAAAGAGATTTTATTTTTATAAACATTTTTACATTCCAGTTCTCTCAGATTTACATTAGGAACATTAGTACAACATAATAATCAAATATTTTTTGACACATGTACATCACACTCATTCCGATTTTTTTTGGTTGCCTGTGTACTTGCATCAGACATGTGTATGAATATGTGCAAATATCTTCTAAAGTCCAGAGACAATAATTGTATTTTAGAATGACATTTTTAGTAGATCACAGAAATTACAATACAACTGGCAAAAATTGCTAGATTTGACAAACATAATTTTCGATTGAGCATTTTGTCTTAACATATTTCTGATATTAGTGATATATGTTATCCCATATTCTCCACTGAATGAAATACTGCTGTATATAAAAATTCGGGATATTTGTACTACCAATATGCAATAAGTTTGGTGCAGTAACACACATTTCTCTTTTCACAGTATAGACATTTGTTTTGTTTTTGAAAAATTGTTTCACTGTAAATTGATCTTCGATGAGTGTCGTAACTTTGTTCTATTCATCTTGTCGTATTCTTGCGCCCGATTGTATAGCAACACTCCCGCTATCACCGAGGAGGTGCCGAGCGCTGATAATCCCGTTACCGGATTATTAAATAATAAGACGGAGAGCCATATTAGAAAAGCTCTCTTTGCAGTATTAGCAACACTGCAATATCACTTTGTGCTTTAAAATCATATACAAGAAAAATATATTCTATTATATAGATAAAAGATATTATTACATACCTGTGTGTTACAGGACTGATGTAGTCCATAAGTACATAAGCAGTGATACTTTGAAAATGGAAGAACACTCCATTGAGAAGGAATGCTGCGAATAATTTAAAGCTCAGGGAATGTTCAAGTGTAGGTAGATCGACCAGCAATATTGATACTGGTATTTGTACGACGATTGACGCTAAACTGGTATAAAATTGTAATTCCGCCGGTCTACAAATAATGAGATTTCTTTTTTTTTTCTTCCTCCTTTACAGTTTACAACATTTTCACACACTTAAGGTGATGCCGGAGTCCTGTTTTACCGGCCATAATAATTAAACTTTGCAGACCGAAATTTTTTTATTGGTTACATGAAATAAGAAATTCTTTTCTACGATTAAAGTATATAATATAATTGATATCACTTACGTATATTTGAAATTATCACCACTGATCAACATTTTCGAGTATACATTCTGCAAGCATTCAGTTACATTTGTTGCCATAGCAGCGATGAATCCTCTAAGATCAAAACTAATTTCATTGATGGAACATAACGCTAGTCCACCCATTACAGGTATTAAAGATAAATTCACATACAATCCCGTATATTCCCCTAAAAAAATGTTATATTGAATATAATCGATTAATTATGAAAGATTAAGATTAAATTTTTATCGTATTATATATAACAATATATACATAAGAGAGGAAAAATATGTAAATTTTTATAATTCTTACCTAATAAATATCTGCTGATGAGGACGGTGAAAAGTGGTGCGCTACTCTTTATAGTTTCTGTGAAACTTACAGCTACATAATTTAACGATACTAGACCTAGAACTACTGTTGCAAACCTTGTGCATCCTACCAGTGTCATGTGTTTGTAAAACCCAGGGGGCCTCATCAATCTTGGACTCGCTTTGTACATACCACAGGGAAAGTACATTTGTATCAGTCCGCAAATTGCAGTCATCAACATCTGGCAAGCACCTACATTATAGGACAGTGAAAAGATTAAAGCTATTTGCAATAATTATGTAACAATTGTGGAAATTTAGACACTTGACATCAACATCTCAATTATTACCAGAGTTGGGTAGTAACTAGTTAAACAGTTAAAAAGTTGAAAAGTTAATAACTGTTAACTTAATTTAGTTAATTTTTAAACTAGTTATTTTTTAATGCATTAATATTAACTTATCAATTATTTTAATACAAGTTAAGATAATTTTTCAATATTAAAGTCGTGTGAAAATAGTTGATCGAAATGTGAATATTTCATCTGTTGCACAAGTTTGTCAGATGTGTCGATCTGCTGTTAGATAAAAAATTAACTTTTAATTTTAATGAATTAATAATTTTTTAACTTAACTTTAACTGAGTTAATTTTTGGACCATTAACTTTAAACTTAACTTAATTTTAAAAAAATTATCTTACCCAATCCTGATCATTACAAATTTTTTGCATTTGCAAAAAAAAATTTACAGATACAACTATATTCAATATCGACTTCTCCAGGAATAATCGCTCACCTAGAATAGTAGGATCGCCCTCCATGTAAGACAGTATGTATTTGTTTAAAAACAGGGTGCATCCGCTGAAGACGTACCACAGAGTGAGAAAGAGGAGGGCTCTAGGATTAAACAGACCGCCCTTGGTGTCGTTCGTCAAAACGATCACGTCCTCCCGCTTTCTCGCATGATCCGCGTATTGCTTCGGCTGACAGGTGGTGTCATGCGACGAAGATGAGTCTTCGAGGATGGGGTCTCCGCTACGAGTGGTCTGCGGATAACTGATACGCACGGAATAATTTTCCATCGCGCTCTTCCTTCCCTCTTCTCTTCCTCACGAAAGCGCGAAGCTCGCGAGAGGTTCCCGCGTGCGGGAAATCACATTTTTACGTTATCTCGTGACGTTAATAATGCGGAAACCTTTTTTTCTATCCCTCGGCGGCTTTCGCGCGTTTCGTAGGTTAGGTTAGGTTAAGTTATTGAACCGCGTCGCGGTTCCTGAACATATGGCAATCAACCGGATCGGATTATCCGACTGAATGCTTATTCCTGTTTATAGACAATAGCAAACACATTCTCTTCTCTTTGTTGTTTTTTTTTTTTCTTTTGAGGCATATGGGAGGATGGAACCCAAGCGGAATCGAACCTGGAATCTCTTCGATTACCAGCTCGCGACTCTACCCACGGCCCCACGCATCGCCCCTACATACATACATACCCAGTCAGCCACGTCTGTTCTAACAGATATTGCCAAGTGCTTGCTACAAATTATTGTCAGCAAAAAGGCTACAAATTTGGTGCAAGAGTTGTTATTACCGATTAAGCTGGCAGATTGCCGGCAAAAACCAAACAAAGCTTGCTAACATAACTAGACAACAAATTGGCGGCAGAAACCGAGCAAAGCTTGCTGACATGACTGACATCAGATTGTCAGCAAAAACTGAACAAGGTCTGAAGTGCGCAATCTGATGGCAAATTGGCAGCAAAAACCGAACAGAATCTGCAGCTTATTAAAAAGTATTATAAAATAGTTCAGTCGCTTATCGCTATGCGGCGCGTTATTCATTATCTATACCCGTATTCAAATTCTTATCATGAGTGTATATAAAGCCTGCAAAACGCTAATAATATTATAATATATATATTTCTATCAGTTCAATTTTTGACACAATTCTTATACAAGAAATTCAGATATTGAACTGATTTTTGGCAAATCGGACAGATAATTGTTCGATTTCCACTCATTCGAACAATTTCTGTTAAAAAAGATCTTTAATTTTGTAAATTAAATTATTTAAATTTACTTATACGTTTTAAAACATTAATATATGATTTTATATAACAATACTGTAATTTGTCTTATTTTTGCCATCAAAAGAACGTCAAAAAATGGTCTCCCGTAGATGTGATTTTTTTCTTCTCTTTTTACGGTTATCCGTCTCTAAAAGTGGGACCCCTTTTCCTCGTTTCCACTCCGTCTTTTTACAGATCTTCAATTTTGTTTGTATACTTGTTTACAGCTTTTTTACTATTTGTAATGGAAATGTAGAGTTGGTCTGTCATCGCGTGACAAGTGACAACTCGCGTACACTGACACCTTGCTTGCAAGGTCGCGACGTATTTACCGGCGAAACCATCTGTCACATTCTTCTGTCAGTTTGCGAGCTTGCGATTGGTCAACTGGAAAGCAATGTCATCATTGTGATATAACGTGATTGTGTTCAAAAAATAATGTATGATTTTCAGTACATTTATATATATATTTACAATATAATTTAAAATTTAAATTATATTATAAGATGCCAATTTGGCAACAATTTGTTATCAAATTGCTTACTGGGTAATTGTACGATTCTGTAACAAATCGCCACGATACACTAGGTGCACGATACATTAAGTGTGCTATATTCATTTTAATAATAATATGTACAGTTTCTCATTGTATAAAAAACTATAGTTTTGATTATGTAAATAAAATAACAATAAACTCATTAGTGATGTATGATATATCATAAGTCATCTTAAAAAAATCTTACTTTTTTTATATGTATTCTGCGCGAATCTGTGATAAATATATATAGGATATATGTAAAATATATGTATAGTTCAATAATTAAGGATATATTTCATATTGAAAAAAAAACGCGATTTTTGATAAATTAAATTAATTACAAAATTAGAGGTACGCAGTATGGAACAATTATGTTTCTTACAATGACATAGGAAAATTTATACAATTTATATTAAGTGACTTAGAAGTATCCCTGGAAAAAACTAATATTTAAAATATGATCAGTGCTTCTTCGTGTTCTTCAACAATTTCTATTATTTACATTTACTTGAATACCATAAGACAAATGGAATAAGTAGAGAAGGTAGAGTCATTACAGCGAATGCAGCCCAATTAACCCGTGAGACACAACAGAATATGATTACATTGAGACAATGACATTTTAATTGTAGAATACATGAATGGGTGGATGAATCTATTTACTTTAGATTACATAAAACTCTTACATATGCAGTATAATTATTGCAAGTTTGTTACAAAGAAAACAATACAATTGTGTATGTATGTTGTGACGGGCGTTCTATTAATGTGGAAATAATTTATAATAATTTTACGTAGAATTAAACATCAAATTAAACATCGTACAATTAAAAATCAAAGTTCACAAAATGATGAAAAATTAAGTATAAAAATATACACAAGAGCCATAGGATATATAATTTGTATCTATATATAAGTATATATATTGCACTATATAAATTGTTTGCTTTCTTACTTCCTACTAAATTTTCAAAATAACTGCGAGGCTATTCCTCCACAGGATTCTATAATCCTTCATTATGAATAGTATCTGTAGAATAGTTGCAATTGTACTTATATGAGATGAAAACTGTTTGCCATAGTTTCTGTATACCACAATGAGTCCTTTACCAGATTTGTTGCTTACAGCCACTTTTGTAATCTAGGAGCCTCTTGAAAGCGATGGTACAAAACTTCAGCGAAGGTAAAGTTGAAATATCCAAACTTGCGTGTGTCACACCACAGTGTGGCTCACATTCGTGTAAGAAGGCACATTATTGATTCTAGCGTTTAATTCGTCTCTCACATGAGTAAAATGGTCTGCAATGGAATGAATTGTCTGTGATCTTAACTTCAAATGCAGCCACATTGCCAGTATTACAAATAGTATATTGTAAACTTCATTTTTTTTAATAAAAAGATATGTTTGTGTGATATTTTATTAAAGATGTATAGAATATCCATTGAGTATATATATAAAACATTTTAATGATACAAAAAATATCTCTATCATGAGAAATTGTCATTAAAAGCATATTTTTTTAATAAGATATTCTATGGATATTTGAAATGTTGTGAATATAGAAAATATTTTTCTCTCAATACCTTAATAACTATATCCATATTTTCTACTAAATATTTGTTAAGTATCTGTTTAGAAATTAATAATCTAGCAACCTTTTCCTCCTCTTCTGCATATGTGCCTATGTATAACATAGCGAATGCTGAAGCCAAAATTGAAAAACCCGTTTGCTCTGAGGAGGAGCTTTCTGTGAGTGAAATAAAATGATAAGGAAGCAATATGCAAGTTTCTAATTTGCACAATTTTCATCTTTTTTATTTTAGTTTTGTGACTACATCAGTATTATATAAAAATAATCTCATTAAAAATATTTTTAATGTAATAATAATTAGAGAATATAGTAGCTGTTAAAAGTAATATAAAATGAATATAATAGATATAATATTATTGATGATAATAATATTGCACATTATACTATGTACAATAATACATCTAATATTATAATTCTATAGATCTTTTTTTAGTTGAATCTTTATAGACTTCTTTATTTGACATAAAGTCGTATTTTTGGACAAAATCATCGTGTGCCAAGATAGCGACGTTTCTTCCAGCTATTGCACTTATTTCCATCGCGCTAGCAGCCCACTCAAATGCATTGACATGATATAGCGCATCGTGTAGCTTGAATTTATCGAAATGTACATTTGTAGTATTTGAGTAGTGGGGATATGCTTTCCAAACAATCTCCTTCTTTTCAGTGACCTAATACAAGGAAGAAAAATTATCAATTATGTTAAAATACATCTTCTAACATTTCATAAAACAATTATTTCGTACATGAGAAAATATATTGTTTATAAGATTTGTTTCCACAGATTCTCTGCTAAAAATTTTCCAAATTTGCGAACTTATTTCATTTGGCCCATCCACATGATTCACTTCTCCAATTGAGCTGATTTTTGTTTTTTTGGGATTACAAGATAGTATAGCATCCAGAGCCTCTTGCAAGCCAAAATACTTTGGATTAAGATCCCCGTTAATAAATGTCGCATATGTCGTTTGATAGTCTCCTGGAAACACTAAGTTATCTGGAAAATCGACGAATTCTATCGGAAATTCTTGATCGTGTGTAAGTGGTGCAGCAATAATTACAATATCGTAAGTACATGTTATTGAATCTTTACTATCTGAAATGTAATATATGCATAATTATTAAATTTTAGCATTTGTCAATATGATTTTACACTCGTCCATTGTATACCTTTATTCATGTAGATCACTTCGTATTGACTCGAATCGCTATCTGGTATATTACGAATTTTTGTAACACGGCTTGGTATTACATTTACATATTTATTTCTATAAATGAGATGTTCCGGTACCTAAAATTTTTAAACTAATGCACATTTTACAAGTATAATTGAGATGTGTATAATGTAACAATAATAGTTCAATAATACATTACTCCTTTATTTCCGCCTTTAACAGACCATAGATCAACACCTGCTCCAGCTATGGATATTAAACCAACAAAACTCTGAATATTGACATCCTGGCCATAATTTGTTACAATAGTTGCTTGCACTATTTCATTGATCAGTCTTTCTGTGAAACCCATATGTGAAAGATAATCCTTTATAGATAATTGCAATGACTTTGGGAAATCCTTATTCATAGCTGATAGCAATGCAGTGACATTGACAAAAGACTTTCCATCATCCTGCAGATTATATATCTTTCCGAAATCTTCTAGTATGTCATCTATATGTCTGTCCAAAGTAATATAATCTTACTCTTTCTTAATCTGTTACAGTGCACGATATCAAAGTACCTTTTAAGTCTATACAGTTGAAAACCATATCTGTAAAATAACTTCGCCATTGATGCAATGTACCACGAGCTTTCCTTATATACAAATTCATCTCCATTCCATATACCATATTTTTGTTCACTGGGAAAATTATGCTCTAAACCTGAAATACACACGTGAAAGCTCATTAATAGCATTCTTGGTGTATTTAATAATCAAATTGTGTCTGAATAAAAAAGATTCTGCCTTTACCCAAGAGTTTGACAAACTTCTGCATATACATGTTCTTAGGGTGTATAATTGAACCACCGGCTTCTACTTCAATGTTGTCAATTTTTACTGTCGCCAATCGTCCGCCAATGGTTTTTGCTTCGTACAAGTCAATCTCCAAACTTCCATTGAACAACTCTGTGAGAAAATGTGAGGTGGAAGCACCGCCGATGCCACCTCCTATGATGGCTAACAATAAGAGAAGAAATTAAATTCGAAACAGGTATATTAAACTTATATGTATCTGTTATAAAATATGAAATGAGCTCTTACCAATACGTGGAACACGTATTTCAAGACAAGTCCCATGTTTGAGTACCAGTACTCCAAGTATTAACAATGTTATATACTGCATCACCATGCTTCTAAAGAATAATAATACAGCTATTTTGAGCACTAAAGATTTTGCGAAGTATATTTATACCTTCCTATGAATTATATAATCATTCGCGAGATAATGTTTATGTCGATAATTCATACATGTATGTGTGAATTATGTAAAATGTGAATATATGTAAATAAATACATAAATGTCTATACAATTTTTGAGAAGGTCACGTTTCTCATGTATATACATATATATATGCGACACGTGATAATGGAAATTTAAATATCTATAAACGTGCAAGTACAATTCATATATAGATATAACATTAGCGATCACGTGACTTAGGCTAACACTAGCGATTGAGGCAGTGCAGAATTCAGTATGGCTGAGTATGGCCTAGATAAACAGCTGGGAGTAGTCCCAGAGGGTGTCTTCCAAGACGTTAGCTTTACAACCGCGAATTCGCAACGCGATTCTTTTTTTCACGATGATCATTCAATTGGCGAGATAAATCTGACAAGGATATTCCATACTGATCAAAGTTCCTAACGCTCAGAGATGTCGTCTAAAATTTTTCCTTCTCGCGAGACGTCACGATAACAGCCAGCGTAGAAAGATGTGTCGCGACTGCACGACGTAGCATTGTAACGTCGAGAGGCTAGGAAGATTCGATTTGTAAAGCTAATCGCATACTTAAGTGACGGGATAAATGCTCAGAGAGAGAGTAGAGATCGTGAGCCTTACGGTAATTTATTGTACTCTTGCACGAACGTTAATCTCATCTTTTTTTACAATTTTATTATATACACTGTTACAATGCATTTTATCGTTTTTACATACAACTTTTTATGCGATTTATAGATTTAATATAATTAAGTTATATTTATATAAATAGGGGAGATGTACAGCGGATGGTTGAATATATGTATATATTATTTATTCTGTCCATCTGTGGGAGCAATGTTGATTCGTACACACATAATACAATCTCATTTCCTCTTCAGCTCGTCTAGTTTGTGCCTGGAAAAATACAGCTTCTCTGTGATTGCACTTTGGGCATGGATGTTCTTCGGTTCTTGGCAATGTAGGATCTGATATTACATCAGCAACAATGTGTGTCAATTCACTAAAAAAAAAAAAAAGCGATTAAATAAATTAATAATGACTTTTAAGTGCGATTATCGCATACATCTTTGCAAGTCTATGAATTAATCTTGAGCTTAGGACTCGTCATATTGGAAGGATATCATTTTGTATGACAAGCATATTTGTGCACAAAATGATATACTATTCTTCCTTGCACGTGTTATAGATTTTAATAAGAATTGTTTAATAATATATTATATAGATATTAATCAACTTTTTTTTAATCCACTTATTTAATCAACTTACTCTATTTCGTGCATGATCTTGTTCACATAGATACAATTGCTGTCCGCCAGCTGCTTAAAATCACAATTTCTGCACTGAAATAAAAACAATAAATCTTTGTGTATAATACAATCTTTTTGTGATATAATCTGGATGATATAATTCAAAGTTGTTTCTTTTTTCCTCTTTTTCTTTTTAAGAGAAACAATTACAACTAACAAACAGAATTTGTTGCAAACATCGTTTATTGGAAACAGTCGCAATACACACTTGTACTTACTGCATACATGAGCACTTTGTTTTCTTTGTCCTCTTTAGGATACAACATATTGTTACACTCCTGGCAAAATCTAATACCCACGAATCCTGGTCCATCATCGTGCGTGTCATAGCCCGTTATCTTCGACATGATATCGGTCAATGATTACAATAATAATTGAAGAATCGTAGCGCGTGGTAAAATTGTCGATGCGTTATATCTCTGCAGGTTAAAAAAAAATAGGATTATTTCACGCAATATACAAAAATTTATTTTACTCATACTGTAAAGTAGAAAATCTTCAAAAAATCGAAATTATGATTTAAAATTAAAATCTATCTATTATATTATAATATAATAAAATCTTATATTATATTATAATAATTTTATTATTTCTTTTTAAAGAAATATGCACACAGAGAACTCACAGAATTAACCTATAATTTCTACATTCAGTTATATGTTATATCTATGATATTATATTCCTGTAATTATTATTATCTTGTGTTTATTCCGTTGCAAATCGCAAGATAATACAAAATAAACTTTAATTGTTGAATAAGTACAAAATCCATTGAATATTTAGACTTGACAAAACTCAAATGCTACGAGCAATTCAACTGTTGTATTGTATTCTTGAAAGCAACCGAAAGGATAATGATGGCGACCGGACAAAAATTGCAAACAACAGCCAATCAGAAGAATTGATTCTGATATAAAACGTCCATTTTGCATTTGTCAAAATTTGACATTTCTCTTCGTGATATGAAAGAAACTTTTGTTATACAGTCTGGTTCATTTGATTTAACAAATCTATTGTTTTTAAAATTTTTCTTAGACTTTATACAAGATTTTCTCTTATTTCTTATAAATATTTTTCTCTTCTCTCATAATTTGATTATATTTAGAATTAAGGATATTCTGACTGTACAATAGTAGCAAAAAACTGTCAAAATTAAAAAAAGAAAAAAGATTTCTTACGTTTATACCGTTTGAAAAATCAAATAAATAAATCCGGATTATAAGAAGAATTGAAGTATCACAAAATAATATAATTTTTAACGTTTTTATAAAAGGAAATAGTTGTAATTAATATTTTTCTTAATTTATGACAAAAACTTTTGATCGCGAATATCCCCTGAAAACAACTGCAAGAAACAAAAAAAAAACCGAGTAATTTGCAGAAAGAGAGAGAGAGAGAGAGAAAGAGAGATATTTTTCTACAATTTTTAGTAAATAACTTTTAAATGAGTAAGTGGATCTAAATCAAGTTTTGCACAAATATTTGTTTTCTTAATATATGTGAAAATTTTTATTTCATTGGCAATGTTTTCTCTTTGTCAAATTTGTTAATAAGTGCTACAATACGCGATTTTCCATAAGAATCAATACTAACTTTAAACTTAAATAATTTCCAAACCGTTAAAAGAATTGTGCTCAGGTTTTGCAGATACTCAGAAGAAATAGTAGAATAGTCTATGAAATTTTCATGCTTTTGTCAATATTTTAACATATGACACAACATCCTTAATATCTTCCCGGGTCTTGTGTGTTCCCTCTTGCTTTCCGTTAACGTGAAACGAGACGAGAGACCGGGAGTGGAAAATTCATGTAAAGACAAGCAACCTCTACCGCATGAACGCGAACCCTTCGGGCGGTTTCCATGAGATCGCTATAATTTTATTCGCGTCGACGAACCTGGGGTAAAATCGAGAACCGCGTGTGTGACCGCGCGTGATAAAAAGCCACGCCGTGATTATTCGTCGCGATCGATCGATCGGAAAAAAAAAAAATAAATAAAATAAAATAAAATAACCGAGTCCATCGCCGCTTAAGGAAACTCATCTAAAGAGAATCGTCTCTCTCTCTCTCTGTCGGAGGCTCGAAGGCAGAGAGAAGATCGGCGCAAGTTTGCTGCGCAGTGACGTATGCGCGCTAGAGGCAGTCCTGACGCTAGCTTAGTTCTAGCGATAGTTTACGATAGAGTGTGCGTACCGTGCGGTAGACCTCGTCGACATCGGTAACGCGGTTGTTGCGCCGCTAGTCGAGTAAGTATCGATCAACGTCGAGGACAAGAACGAGAACGACGACGAGGACGGTGACGAGGACGACGACGACGACGTCGATGGTGCCGGTTGATCCTCGCCGCTCTATTCATCTACCTCGCGGCGGCTTACCTTCCCGGGTTCCCTCTCTCTCTCTCTCTCTCTCTCTCTCTCTCTCTTTCTCTCTCACATAGACGGTAGAGAGAAAGAGAACCGACCAACGCGGACGTACCCCCCGGCTCCCCTACCACACGCTTTCTCACCCCGTCGTCCGTCTCTCTGTCTACCCCCACCCCTTCCGGCCACGGCTCTCTCTCCCCCATCTATATAGTGCAAATCTCGCGGCGGCCGAATGTTTTCTTAAGGGATTCTTCCCACGACGCGATTATTCCGGAAAGCGGACTTGTCGACCGACCCGGAGGAGATCCATTCTCGCGCGAGTGCAATTAATAAAACTCAGTAGCCGTCTCTCTCGTCGGCGCGGGCGAATGTGAGGAGCGTGTGATTCGTCTGTGCATCGTTTCTCCAGGAGGTCGAGACGCGACCGAGAGGAGGAAGAAGAAGGATAAAAAAAGAACAGAGACGCGAGCGAACGTGCGAAACACGTACGATATACATAGTGTATGTATATGAACGAGTAGTGAAATTTCCGAGAGCCCGGAGGCGGCGTTCTTGTGGGGGGTGACGTCGCGTCGTCTCTCCCGCAGAGAAAGAAAGAGAGAGAGAGAGAGATAGAGATATCCCGTTTTCGTTCTTGTCGTAGAGGGAAAAGACAGTTCGGCACATTCGACGCCGACATGTAATGTAACTCGTCGTCCCCTCGTCTCTGTCCGTCGTCGACCGACAATTCGTGGCCGCGGCTCCGACACGTGATTACGGCGGAACGGCATCGTCGTTTGTTTGCGGCGAGGAGGCGGCCGCCCGGTGGCGGCGGCGGCCTGCGATAATAGGTTGCGAAGGCGCGTTGTTCCTCCTACTCTCCGCCGAATGCGTGCGTGCGTGCGTGCTGTCTCTACAAACGCGCTAGTGTGAATGCGCGCGCGCGTGCCCACTCATTTGTCCGCCCGAATGTGCGTGCGTGCGTGCGTGCGTGCGTGCGTGCATCCGGCGGCCGTACGTGAATTTTTGTCGGCCGAAAAATCTGATATAATAAAATATATAATATATAAAATCGAAATATATATAACGTTTGCGGTGTTCTATGCATGTACGTCTGTATGTGTAGGGAGGAGTGTGCGTGCGTGCGTGTGTGTGTGTGTGTGCGCGATATTGTTGTTACTAGACTTATACCGGACAGCCATATTGTTTAACCTAGCCCTAATCCCGCGATAATTTCTCTCGTTTGTCGATATATGTAAGAACGAGTATTTTGGGATTTTAGACGAAATATTTTACCCTCGGTTTGATCTTTTTTTCTCGAGTCGATCGGGGTATCGGTAACCGCGAGACCCCCCCTTTGTCTTTGTTCCGATGACGTACCCCGTTCCGCGCACGCAGGTGATGTATACCGCCTTAAAAAATATAATATGTTATTTTTTCCCCCCTTTTTTCTTCAGCCGAAAGAGATCGTTGGTCTCCGCGTGTCGCGTCTTTTTTTCCGTTGTCCTGAAAAAGTTGGATCCGGTAAATCGGACATTGAAATGTTAAATTCGTTATTTGTTTCATTAATTATATGTCCAAAAATAGCTCTCGAGAAAAAGGTCCTTCTTGCTGCAGCAACGAATGCCGTTTCTTCTCCCATTCTGTTCAGAGTTAGCAGTGGCGTCTTTGTTATATAAACATTTTGCACTTTTATTTTCGATTTTTCACTACCACTGGCTTTACAGATGTATCGCTTTTTGTTCAATTATTATTATTCAGATGATACGAATGGATATTTAAAGGATATCTAGATGTTATTTTAAGAATTTTTACATTTTTTTATATAATTGTTTGCTCGATTTTATTTATAAAGTATGCGCATAATTAATGTGATAGCCTAGATTTCAATGAAATATCTTGTTTTTGACAGGCGATTTGTCTATCATTGAACGGAAATCATGGAATCTGGGAGTAACTTGCCCAATGCGGGCAATTATCCTGGAGGCGATCGTCAGCAGTTCTGCGTCTCATGGAATTCCCACCAATCCAACATGCACAGTGCGTTTCCAAAGTTGCTGAGCTCAGAGCAGTTTGTGGATGTGACTTTGGCTTGCGACGGAGGCTCGATAAAATGTCACAAAGTCGTGTTGTCCGCCTGTAGCGACTATTTGGAGCGCCTACTGTTAGAGATACCGTGTACTCATCCTGTTATCTTTTTGAGGGACATGAAGATGTGGGAACTTCAAGCTCTGGTCGAATTTATGTATCGTGGGGAGGTGTACGTCGAGCAACAACAACTCGCTACATTGATGCAAGCAGCAGAAGTTTTACAGGTTCATGGCTTGATTCATTTACATGCATTTATATAACAATGTCTGTAGTACATGAATCATTTTTTTTTTAAATTCTTTATATATTTTACTCCTTTTAACTTTAGTAGAAGAAAGCAGAAATCATGGAATTATATGTGCTTTTATACTTTTACACAAAGGGAAGTCATTCTTACACGTATATTTTTTTGATAGGTTCGTGGCTTATCTACTCAGGGATGCGATAACTCGTCGAATGAGAGCAATACACAATCGTGTGATTCTAACGCACCTGTCACTCCGTCGACGCCTACTCACGGTGACAGTACTAATTATAAAGCCGATAATACTTCATCCAATGACGGAAGTACCTCCGACTTCCTTTCATGTTCGACAATGCCCGCAACTAGCACAGGGAACAATTCGTCCACCATCACCCCTGTCTCACACAATCCCAATACAACTAACTTTGTAAACATGGAACATAGCGAAGCGTTACAACATCTAGAGAAGGCTTTAAGTGCTTGTGAGGCGACTCTCACTGAAACTCAGGGTATGGTGAAGATGGAGCCGGACGAGCAGTTCACTCAGCAGCAAGATGTCAAACCATATTCCATTAGTATGGTACCCAGTAGTAATTGTAATCCTAGCAGTCCATTTCCTCCAATCGAAGGTGAGCAATGTTATCTCTCTCGTTTATTCAGGCGTCGATATCTAACACATTTGTGCAAGCTAGATGTATTGACACCTTTTGTGCATATCATTAAAAGGTTATCAAAGACGACAAAGGCGTTCAGAAGAAGAACTCAAACTAGCTTCGGATATGGTGTCACGTGGCATGACATTTCAAGTAGCCTCGGAAAAGTACAAGATACCGATCAGCACAATTCGATTCTACATGGTCAGAAAGGGCATCCTGCAGAGGCGAAAACGCGGTCGTGGCTCCAGCAACCTCGGCATGAACAGTCAACCGGGTAGTCCGGCCAGTCCACCGTATCATATGATGAGTTACCGTTTGCCGGAGAGCCTAAATTCCAGCCTACCGTAGTGCTGTATAAAGAAGTAGTGAGTTTTTAGACTTCAGTTTTGAATCGAACAAATTTTTTATCGCCGCATCCATAGAGCTGTTCCAGACCGCGTCTTATCGATATACTTTTAACTCCCTTGCACTGAGAGTTTATTTATATTTTATATTACTATTATTTTTTTTTTCTCCTTTTAATTTGCACTTCATTATTCATTCGCAGCGCAGCGATACGTTTGCGTTGTTTGATTTACAAGACTTTTATATTTATGGCATATAAATGTTTTTCCGCATTTTTATGCTATCGTCGACCGCGTGCGTATGATAGAGATATAATTTGTGTCTCGAACAGCTCCGCTCCATGTATATAAAAAAAATACCATATGTAAAAGTTCGGACACAGCATTAAGTTAAATATCTCGCACGCCTTATATCACGTTTATGTTGAATTCAGTGTCCTTAGGAAGACTGCCTAAAATCTAAATTTTTTCTTTTTTTCTTTTTTTTTGTGGGTATAAAGATACGTGTTATTATATTGTGGAATATGCTATATTCCATTTATTGACGCATATAACGGTCACATCAAGGGGGGGGCACATTACAGAATAAAATATAGCACATTGCGGGAGAACTTTGGCAAAATATTATGAATTAATACTGATAAATAATAATAATAATGTGATTCCATACTTATAAGTATTTGCGTTTTAGGCAAATGACAGTAAAAATCAAAAGATATTAGATTGTTGCATTTAACTAATTACGTTTTCAGATCTTATTATTTCGAAACTTTTTTTATACGCAGGATTCGTATACATAAGCGCCCTTAATATATAATGATAAGACAGGGAAATGTTCTATGGAATATAGATATACTGATACAAATGACAATTTCTTTATGCTGTGGACGAACGTTGCGCGTATGGTTGATTCTCAGCCGTGTTCCGTTCTTCTACTTAGTGACCGTATGTAGCTAGCCTGCATATGTGGATAGTGTGAGATATGTTTTTGGATCTTACATCAATGTCGCTCATAGCGAGAAACAGATTTACAAAGTACAGTTCGGAAAAGAAAAGAAAAGAAAAGATAAAAAAAAAAATAGAGGAAAAGAAGAAAATTGACTATGTCATATAATGGATATTTTTTTAATGACCTTGAAATATTTTGACAAGAAGACATTTTGTAGCATATAAGTTATTTTTTATTATATCATATTTATATGATTCACAGTGTGAAGCTCATCTCGTTAAGTTACTGTGGCATTTGTACGGCACACATAATATGTATGTATTTACCAAGTATTTATCTTTCTATATTTTAAATGTACCCTCCATGGGAGGTAAAGCATTTCGATTACTGCACACTGTATATCCTGCGCCAGAGTGACGCTTAAAGATCAAAAAATGTATACATTTGTAGAAAGTCAGGACTTGTCCACAAACGTCGATTAGTAGTCACTATGTTTAAGACTGGTAACACGTGGCTAACATAACCAGATTTTTAAAGTCTTAGACACAGCAATCCTCAATCTATTATACAGATATTTTTGTAGGCACTTTGTCGAGAAAGGTTTCTTCTTTCTGCCTCTTTATTCTATATATATCTTGATGATAACTTATGCAGTAAGAGAAACCTGGTATTTATTCAAAGTTTACCATTTAGCTTTGTTAAACATCACAAGAGAGATGAACGATCATGACGTAGTGTAATGCTTTTTACATGCTAGTGTACAAATAACAGCATTTGTAATTGACGATAAGAATCATACCCTGGTGTCTGTAAAAATCGGTGAAACGTCGAGTTCTCCGTTATTTTTACAAACATCAGTTTTGCCTTTTCAAAGATGTTTAATTGTATGACAACAACTGTGGCGCGCATACAATTGTAATTGTACGGTGTATTGCCTTTGTTACATAGCATTTGGATAAAGCCATATTTTTCCATGCAACGCAATAATCCAGCAAAATAAATGACAGTTAAAACTGAGAAGCAGCCTAAAATAGGAAAGAGT